ATATCCATAAAAAGTCTCGTTTAAAGTTTGCCACAAGCCACCTGGGAGACACACCAAACATGTGGAAGAAGGTGCTCTGGTCAGATGAAACCAAAATCGAACTTTTTGGCCACAATGCAAAACGATACGTTTGGCGTAAAAGCAACACAGCTCATCACCCTGAACACACCATCCCCACTGTCAAACATGGTGGTGGCAGCATCATGGTTTGGGCCTGCTTTTCTTCAGCAGGGACAGGGAAGATGGCTAAAATTGATGGGAAGATGGATGGAGCCAAATACAGGACCATTCTGGAAGAAAACCTGTTGGAGTCTGCAAAAGACCTGAGACTGAGACGGAGATTTATCTTCCAACAGTCCAACAATGATCCAAAACATAAAGCCAAATCTACAATGGAATGGTTCACAAATAGACGTATCCAGGTGTTAGAATGGCCAAGTCAAAGTCCAGACCTGAATCCAATCGAGAATCTGTGGAAAGAGCTGAAGACTGCTGTTCACAAACGCTCTCCATCCAACCTCACTGAGCTCGAGCTGTTTTGCAAGGAAGAATGGGAAAGAATTCCAGTCTCTCGATGTGCAAAACTGATAGAGACATACTCCAAGCGACTTGCAGCTGTAATTGCAGCAAAAGGTGGCGCTACAAAGTATAAGCGCAAGGGGGCCGAATAATTTTGCACGCCCCACTTTTCAGTTTTTTATTTGTTAAAAAAGTTTAAATTATCCAATACATTTTGTTCCACTTCACGATTGTGTCCCACTTGTTGTTGATTCTTGACAAAAAATTAAATTTTTATATCTTTATGTTTGAAGCCTGAAATGTGGCAAAATGTTGAAAGGTTCAAGGGGGCCAAATACTTTCGCAAGGCACTGTAGTTCCCATAATCCTTGGTTCTATCATTAGTTGTCACATTTTCTGTTACAGCTTTTTCAGACAGAAAAGTGGGAAATTGAACATTTTAAAGTACAACATTTTTATTTATTTATTTTATTCTTATCTATTTGACATAAAAAGTACATTAATGCTGATGTACAGGTTCAAAAATGACTACTGTTGCTGATAAAGCAAACTTTGTGCAGAAAACGTGATGTGTTTCCACGGTGACAGTGTTTACTTAGGCACGCGCTCAGGTTACAGGAAATGCTTTAGGGAGCGTCCAGTGCTCTGTAGTTTGGAGCAAAGCGGTGCATAGTTTGTGTCACTGGGAGCAACAAAAACAACCTGACGATTCCACAAGATCTGCTCCATAAATACATCTTTGAATCTTCAACTGGTTAAAACTTTTGGGTAAAACTTTCAAATGGTCAAAGCATTTTTTTCTCTTAATAAACCATGAACAATGAAGCGTCAGGCAAGTTACAGCAATATTTTGTATTACAAGTGTATTGTGGCAGATATACACAATTTGATGTAAACATAATGTGAAGAGGAACTTCTTCTGATCTCATTTTTCCAGAATACTTTCTTCAGATGAAGTGTTCCACACTGAAGCCCTGACACACATACTGATGAACCCTATAGCGCTGTATCTGAATTACACTGGGCCTATTGTCTTTGCTGAACATTGAAGCAGCACTGCATGTTGTTTTATGAGGGCGCTGCCCCCTGAGCAGCTTGTGTCGATTGACAAGTCAAGTATTTCCCGGCGGCATCAATCACAGTGCGTCTATGAGGTTTGATAGCACTTTGGTGGCAACTTCCATCTCTGGCGAGGGGAAGGAAGCTGACAAGCAGGGCTTCTAGCAGATAAAAGAGGACTTTAACAGATGGATGTGTTCGGCAGGTTAAAAAGAGAATTTTATCAGAGCCTTGTCAAACTGTCATCATCGCTGTTTTCAAGAGGAAAACCTCAGTGTTGTAATAGCACGTACAAACAGATCTAAAAAATACACACTTGCTCCACAGTCCCAAAAGAGTTCATATTGATCGGTGGTTGTTCACACTCATGACAACAGCATGACAGACAGATGGTGAGAGGGAAACACATGGAGACAGACTGGAGGCTCAAACAAGCCCCTCACTATTGTAAAACTGTATGTTTATGATGATGGTAGGATGTGCAAATTCTGCTGTGGTGTTGGTCCTGCCAGAGGATCTTTGAGACTTTTGGTGTCATTTTGTTAACTTTCTTAAATACAATAGTTGTATTTATTTTGTTAAAGTCACTAATTGATTACAAGAATAGTTGTCTATAGTTCATCTTTATGGAAGGGACAGTGTCTCCATCTGTAGTTCCCAAACAAATAATCATCTTTGATAGATAGTATAAAATTATGTGAAGAGATTTTAGAATGGATCATTGTTACGGAAATATTTACAAAAACAATACAATCATCAAACAACTAATGTTCAGACTCCATAGCTCTTGATTGACCTTTTAACTTTGTTTTTAGAATAATAGCAATGAATGGAAAACAGCAGAAGTCATACTTTTTTAAGGTCTTAAAAACAGATTAATTCAAATGATCAAATCATTGAAAGAATAGTTTCCCCAAAGAAATTCATGACAATAAAAGGGGGTGGGAGTTTAAGACGTCTTCCTGCTCCTTTTCAAGCTGGATTTTTGTTAATAAAACAAAACATACTGTATATTTGTATATTATCATGTATTATTTATTCTTCTATTCTGTTGTTTTGTTTTGTTGTTGTTCATTCTACTGGTTTGCCTTGGCTCGAAATAAAGTATGAATTCATTCAAAAACAGAAGTTTCAGTGCGGTGTCCTCAGTATTACAGAACATGCATCAGTGTAAAACAGAGGGACAGATGAGGGCTCCTGTTTATGTCCCATCCTCAGGTCCCTTCACTTTCTGCAGTGTTTTCAGGCTCTCATTCTGCTCCTCCATAATGTAGCTCACTGTCAGAGTCAGAGTGGCAGTCTGAATTGCTTCAGTCAGATAAACACTCCCAGCATGCATTGCTCTCTGCTGCACCGGCAGCCCCCTGGCAGCATTGTGAGGGTTCAGAGAGTTGTGTGGTGACAATTCCATAAGCGCAAAGCACACTTCAGCAGCACATTTGGGCTTAGTGCGGAAGCAGCAATGACACCACTTGCCACTCACCTATGTTTATTATTCTGGTCCTTCTCTCAATACTCTTTCCATTTCAGATTCTGTAGCAGTATCAGCACAATACAATAAGAAATTCAGTTATTTTACATCTAAATCAGTGCAAAATGTCTCCAACTGTCACTGAAACAGTATACACTTGTCCAGCAACTGCTGTACACCTTGAGTGGTCATGTCTGTCACTTCAACTCAGTGTCAAGCTCGACCCAAACACAGCTGGAGCCGGTGAGAGAGCAGCCCCAACATTCAGACAAGTGCTGAGCATAAAAATGACAGTAATTGATATAAGCCGTATCTAAAATGTTGTACGTATGTGGCCTAAAATGTTAGTCACTCCACCTTTGTCTTATCTCTGCATGTTTCATCAAAGCACAGATGTAACAGCAAACGACAGGGCTGGATGAAAAGATCTCATTAAGACAAGCTCAAGCAGATGATCAGCTACATTTGACTCAGGCCCTGATCTGATTCAAACATGTTGTGTTAAAGACAAAGTAAGTGCTCATTGACCCAGCTCTTCCGATTAATTGCTGAGATGATTTACCCTGGATAATGAGTATCCATTATTATCACTGATTTAGATAGTATGTTGTAATTACTATAATACAACATAAAAACGACATAAATGTATCAGAGATTGTGCCCTGTAAATGGATTGGTATCGTTTTCATCTTGACCAGCCAAGTGCAAACTAGCTGGACGCAGACGATGAAGTACATAAATACTGTAGATACATTTGCCAATTATCTACTTCCAATGCACTGCACAGCTTGTGAATGGGAGTTGAACTTGATAAACTGTAGGTAGTAATGAGGGTGCTTAGAGGAGATGCTGAGGCTGAGAACACAACTATTTACTAAGGATTTTGATACACTGGACATATTTTCTTTAAAAAGACAAAAAGGAGAATCGTGATACTCATGTATACAAGTTATTGCATTGTAGTGTCTTTTGCATGACGTGTTTTACATCTAAATGGGTCAAAAGCCATGTGTAGTACAACAACAACAACAACACTGCAAACACATGATCCAGCTCACTCTCCCAACATGCACTCTGCCATGCCTTCTCCCCATGATCCCCCGCGGAGCTGCAAACATGAGAAACTGATGCTGTCTCCTTCAGCTCAGACCGCGACACGGCTGCTTATCAACCAGCTTTCGAGAGCATGAGATTTACTTTTACTGTCTTTTTCAGCCTCCCTTTAAACACATGTAGTTCATCTTTTGTTGTGTAAGAAGGCACACACATTCAGCATTGATGCAAAACTATACAGTGCACTATCTCCATGGCGTTTTTCAGAACTTTGGTGAGAAACAGACAGCAGCTTAAGCCCTGACACGGTAGATAATAAAGAGGACCGCTACGATCAATATCATTAACACAAAATAATAAAATAAAATAAATGAGTTCAAATAAAAAGTGGGGAGACGTGAGGGAAGCCAAGTCTCTGTATAGACAGCGTTCTAGCTTCAGGAGCACAAGAAACAATTCTGCTACGCCTGGAGGGTAAAGCTCACACCAACAAATTAATGACCACATGCACAATTAACACAAATAGAAGCTTGCAGACGCGAAAAATTCAAGTTTGCCTTTTCCAAAGTTAGAGAAGAAGACGTACATTGGCGTCTAATTAGGAGCTTGGATGGGGTTAGATACGCAAAATAACTTCCAAAATGTAAAGCAATACCCTATTGATCAGTATAATCGATAAAGACACACGCGTAACATCATAAAGAAATGCAAAAATGCCAAACGCTTGCAGACACTCAAGCAAAGCGGGATGTGAATAAGTTTGTAAGCCGCATCCACAGTGGCGTCTTCTGCACAGTAGCCACAGCTCAGAGCCCTTCTCTCACCGCTCTGTACGCGGCTGCCCCCGCTGCTCCGCCTGCGAACTCCCCTGGCGCTAACTCCCCATAAATAAACTTACTTTTCTCTGGCTTGGCTGTCGGACGGCACGCTGCTGCTCTTGCCTTTGGCGTACATGCTTGCAGAGAGCGCGACTGTCACGCACCTGTCAACCCATCACAACCTCCCAGCCCCGTCACCATGGCGACACAAGCAGCGGCAGCGCCCATTGGTTATCCGGCAGTGTGGACCCGCCCACTCAAGATAGTGACAAGCAGTGAGTGACATCCGCTAGACACGCCTATTCCGTGGTAGCCCCGCCCCGTCACCCCCGGCGGCTCTTCCTCAGCCTCTTCATCTGAGACTGACAATAACACTGCACCTTCTCTCCTCATTCTCTACTGTGCACAGTCGGTTTGGAAACAACCCCAATACAAGTATAAAAGGATGCGTTCATGTGACATCACAATATTCCAAGGGGCCTAATTTAACATTGTGGTGGAGTGAAGCTGCAAACTTATGGTAACTGTCAAAAGTCCCAGAGCCATACATATATCGTCTCACTATTTCATCATAAGTGTAAGTATCAAACAAATTAGTGACTAATGAGTATTGATGAATATTAAAAAACACATGCATCATTTTGGCCTGGTCTAGAAAGGACTTTCACACATGAGAATAAAATTTAGTTTGTGAATCCATTTATCAATATTTGTATTTGAATATTCTTTCCCATATGTGTAATGGCACCTGCCCTCCAACTGAAATATACGTATTTCTAGAACATGAAAACAACCATACATCCAACGACCATCACACCCTCTACCGATGAGTATAGTAAGGCAAGGCAAGGCAAGGCAAGTTTATTTATATAGCACAATTCATACACAAGGCAATTCAAAGTGCTGAACAAAATAAGAAAGCATTAAAATCATCACAGAACATTAAAAAGAAATCTAAAAATATAAAATCCCTCAGTTGTATGCACAGCTAAACAGAACTGTCTTTAACCTGGTTTTAAACATTGTCAGAGAGGAGGCCTGTCTCACATCTTCAGGAAGACTGTTCCAGATTTTAGCAGCATGAATCTGAAAAAAGTAAAGTAAAAGGGGTCTACATGTTAAGTGATGTTTCCATTGTTATTTGGTCATTATATAAGATTAGCCGAGGCTGATTGGACAGAAGCCGTAACTTTTGATCCTTAACTTAACTTTTAGAGCACATCATTTATCTCACAGACGAGTTTTTTGCAACTCCGCTAATATTGTAATTGAGGTCAGAATGTGTGGCACAAAAAGCAGCTGAGTCATGCTGCTGTCCAAACTCACAGACAGGACAGAGTTTATTGACTGCTCCTTCTTGTCCTCAATAAAAGTTCTCTCCCTTTGTTATGCTATGCCACTGTACTAAACTCCATCAGATGATTGTCTGATCAATTCATTGTGAATTTGGTGATTTGTTTTAATGAAGATTATTGTGCTGGGGCAGAAGTATCAATGCTTATGCAACACTCTGGTGATGTGACCTATTTGGCGGAGCACTCTTCTCTCTCCCTTGTTGTCAGTCTGCTACACCATCCTCTCTCATCCATCCAGAAGACAATTTTGATTTAATTTTAATTTTACGTTTTAGGATGAGTCCCGACAGGCCAATCTCCATGACAACCACTGACAGGAGAGGACAGAAACGAAGCTTGATTTATAGCTAATATAAAAGTTTTAGTTATGTATATACAATTTTACCATTTGTGCATAACTATTGTCATTCATTCATTTTGGAGATAAACACATGCTAATCCCCACAACAGAAAAGATACACATTAGCACCATTAAAAGAGTCATTGATATTGTCATTAATGAGGCAATTAAGTTTGTTATGTTACTCGTCTGTAGATTGTTTTCCAACACTGCAGAGAGCAATGTGAGTATTGTTGGGTGAGACAAGGCGGAACAGAGATAGCAGTTTAGATTAGAGGGGTGTGGAGTGCGACTACGCCATCACGCTAAAACCCTCAAATGGAAGGTTTTACAACAATTCCCTAGTAAAAAAAATACAGTTGAAAAAACACCCTAAACTATATTGTTAATTGATACGGACAGCAATTTAATAATAGTCTTTCACACTCATCAGTAATGCTTTGTTTTTATATAGTGTTTTTCTGGACACTCAAGATTATTCATTCGCTCCAGACACATTCCTCATAAGCTACGGTAGTCACAGCTGCCCTGGGGCTGACTATGCCATAGGCCCCTCAACCACCAATCACCCACACTCACACACCACACTTTCCTCTTCTCTTCCTCCCACTTTCCTCCATCCTCTTCAGTACTTATTGTTTGAAAAGCTTTTGAGTCAGTGCTGAACATTCTTCTAAGTCCAGGAATTGAGAAACACGTTGGTTTTAAGTATGAAATTCATTAAAATATTTTTTTTGTTTCCGTTTACAATTATTCGAAGAAGGTTAGCAACCATGACTATTTATAATTATATGTGCAGGTATTAAAATGAATAAAGGCCATTATTTGAAGTCCTTTTGATTCTAACAGTTGGTTTAAGGTATATTGGAAAGTATTGTGCAGACATTGAATTCTTTCAGGTATTATCAATGATTCTTCTGTTTAGTATTCTTTTACTTTTACTATTGCCAAATTGCATGATTTTTGTCTCTCTGTGTATTATTATTAAACTAGTTTTAATTCATTAATTTCCACAATGGTCAAAAGTTGCTTCAAGTTATGACCTAATAAACTGATTAAAATATACTATAATTAGTGCGAATTTCATACTAATAATATTAATATTTAACATATTTGATGATGTACAGCATTGCTGGCTGTACAGTATGAATCATGTAAGTCCCAGTATTGACTCTTGTGCCACAAATATGGCTCCACAACTTGATTTGTGAAATCTGTAAAAAATGTTGTTTCCAATTTAAATAACAATATTTTAGTCCTTTATGTTGATAAAAAGATGGACAAAGGTATCAAAGGCTTTTTTAAAATCCATTTAAATCAATGAATGCAAGTGAAGTAGATCTATTTGGCCTATTGAACACAAAGTGATAATTAGGATGAGAAATGCTGACATGTATTCACATAAAAAAACTTACGTCATTTACATGCATGCCTGATACATCATTTTGATCCATCCTCAGTCCTGACCAGCGCTTCTCTGAGCACAGAATGGATGGTCCCACATCAAGGTCAGGACAGAGGGGGTGCTCATGTTAACAGCTCTGGAGCATTCTGATTCTGCATCAAGAAGCACTTAGGCCCCGAGGGAAACAGCTGAAGTCACTGTGCTTCAGAAGAAAACACATTAGCACCTGGTCAGTACTGTACTTCTTAACCAAGGGGAAGAAAAACACTCCTCCTCATCTTAAAAGCTGATTTATCACGGAATGCTATAGTTTTAGCTGAAAAAAGAGGGATATATCGTTTCACATTTCATTGAGTTTGATGATTACATTCTATCAAATGCCCGAAAGATAAAAGTATTCAGACGGCCTGTAATGAAGCGAGTGTATCAGGGTAAAGCAACATTGGAAATGATTAAACATCAAAATATCAATATTTTATACATTACAATACAACACAATATTTTGATCATGAATGTGGAATTTGCAATGAAGTATATGTAAACATATGAAAGAAACAAATATTATTTTTGGAAATAATGGGGAAGGGGATATTTGAACAGTTGGTCGTGGCTTCACACTGATAGTGTTGTATACAGGTTATCAGATTCAAATCTGATAACCTGTTAATGCTTAACTGTACACTGTCCCTGTTCAAATAAAGTACTTACAATACAATACAAATGAATTGAATAGTGACCCACAGGAACCTGCGGAGATTCAAATCAGCCAACACTTCATGGGTTTCACAGATTTTAATGATTCCAGATTGGACGTTGTGAGGCGTTGAAATCATTAAAAAGTTTGTTATATTATCTTGTTTTGATTCTTGTAAATGCTTTTGTTGATGGAGCACTGCCTTCGCCTCTTCAAACATATGCTGTTAATCAAAGGGATGTGGCGCCATCTACTGCTAGTATCTATGTGACCACTTACGGACCATGGTTGATTGCTATTTTACTATAGTTCTGAGCAAATAGAACTAATGTAAGCAGACATTAGTGATAGCTGCATTAGTAATTAGTAATAACAAGATAACGATTAGTTCGTTATCTTGTTATTTTCCTTTATGTCGTAGAAAACAATCCTATAGCATTCACCAATTTAAAGTAATCTTGTAGATTTACAGTAAATTTTTATTGTGACTGTAAATCCCTGTCTCAGTAAAAGAAATGAATATATTGAGTATATTACATAATTATACACACATGGAACATATTGCATGACCGGATGAAACACAAAGGATCAGATTTTTGCGCATGCATTAGTCCTGGTTACTCGCAGCCAGAGACAGCCTCTTGCAGGCGGGCCGTGCTTGGGTGGAGCGCTGCGTTTGCGCAGGCGCAGAGTATGTGTCATCTCGTGTTTTGGTCTATGGTTTTGGAATGGTGTTGTCGTGCTGAAGACTCGAGATTTAAATCATTTTAAAACGCCTTACTGTTTTTCTTCTAGAATATATAAGGTGGTGTCGGATACAGGCCCATTGAAATCAGACACAATGTTCGAGTCAAGCTTCAAGAATTTCAACATAAACCTTACGTCGGTGAATCCACGGCATACCTTCTCCTGCGGGGACATCGTCACTGGAACTTTATCGTTTGACCTCACAAAGGAGACTAAGATCACTGCCATCACAATGGCACTGACTGGGAATGTGAATGTGCACTGGTCCACGGGCAGCGGGGGCAAGAAGCGACGTCGAAGACAGTTCTCTGCAAAAATCAACTTGTTCAACTTAAAAAGCGTCATTCTCCAAGACAATAGTGTGTATCCCTATCCCCGCATGAGAACAACAGGCTGTTACTGCTGTCTTCCAATTGACCCATTTTAATTGTGTTCTTGTTGAAGTTGCTGTTGGTGGACCTCCCAAACTGCTCTCAGGCACACACGTGTACCCCTTCACCTGTCACATCCCGCACGGGTACGTCTGATGTCTCCACTGTTCTTTGTTTAATATGACTTTAGACCTGTGTTGTCCAACATGGTCAGGAGAGGCAGGCTACCTCCAAGGGAAAGATGTCTTAATAGTAATAACATTTATACTAGATATTGAAGAATTTAGCCAATATATGACACGTCACTGAACAATTAATTAGATAAATTCTGATTTGAATTATAATGTAGTGTGATTGAGTTCATGTGGGATCCAGGCCATAGTTTGGAATCCTCTTGACTAGCATATTGACTGTGTGCCATATTCTTTATTTAAAAAAAACAATATGCAAAACTTCCTGTAACTGAGCGAGAATAGAGAGATGAATCTGTATGTATCCTCCTTTTATTCGGTCTTTTGGTTGTTTTTACTTGTTTGTTTAATTGAGTGAATGAAACATGTTGAGTAGCAGTTTGTTTTTTTCTCACAGTGATTACCCATCTTCTTTTCATGGCATTCATGGAAGGGTCCAATACCTCTTAACAGTGAGCATTGACAGACCATGGCATTTTGCAAAAACCTTTGAGACGGAGTTGAACTTTTTAGATCGAATCAGCAATCGCCCTGAACTATGGGTAAGTCTTCTTGGATGAAAACAATCTTCCTTGAATCTCACACAGTTCTGAAGGTGTGCTTTGCTGCAGGCTCCACTGTCCGGCAGCAACAGTATGCAGGTCTGCTGCCTGTGCTGGGCCTCTGGTCCAGTCGAACTCACCGCCACTTTAGACAAAAAAGCATTTCTGCGAGGTGAGTGCTAACTCTAACTGGTGTTGTGTCACTGTTGGGTAAGTTACAGTATATTTATTAAACAGTATTTTATGTATCAAATCAGAAATTGGTATTATGTTTATAAAATGTTACACTACTCGGTCACAGCCTAAAAAAATGATTTAGCTTCATTACATTCTTTGGTGGGGGTTTCCACTTTCAAAATGCTCCATGTTAAAGCTGTGTTTACATGTTTAAACGTTGTGAGACAGTTTTGAGAGTATCTGGATTGTAGCTGTATTACAAGTAATTTCAAAGTAATGCGTTACTTAAACAGTAATTTATTACTTGTAACTGAGTTATGTACTAAAATGTCTGTTCTTCTGTGTGTGCCAGGAGAAACGGTAAAAGTCACGTGTGAGATCAACAATGCCTCGACTCGGACAGTTACCCCCAAAGTGAGGCTGAAGGAGCGGCAGACGTACTACACCCACGGAAGGCACAACAGAAATTCAGGCACTCGAAACCTTGTCTCTCAGAACGGAGAACCCATTAATGCCAACACTCCAGACGTCCACAAAGAACTCCTGCTCATGATACCCTCAAACACACACCTCACTATTTCTAACTGCCCAATCTTGGAAGTGGACTACATGATTGAGGTAACGTGATAAGTCTTATAAATTCAATGTTAAAAGTATTATTAATACATGTTTGATTTAATGTAAGTGTTGCTTTCACAGGTTTCTCTGGATGTAAGAGGCTCCTCTGATGTCACTGTGCGATGTCCTATTATTATCTATGATAATAACATTTACAATCAGCTTCCACCTCCATCTTAGACTGTGCCACACCATTTTTGGTAATATCATTGTCTCCACCAAGGAAACACAATTCATCTAATCCTAGTAACAAAATATATTCTTTATCTTTTTCTTGGAATATTGTGTTACTTTCAGAATAGAGTCATTGGGGAAGGTCCCCAATGCCAAGGCGCTGGTGATGTTTCACCATCAATACATTTAGGACCTATTGCTGCCACAATTAAAACTTTAGTTTTGGCCTTGGAGTCAACCTGCCGTGCCTCCAGTGAAGAGGCTTTGAGTGCTTCAACAATGTCCAAGTGCTATGCTAAATACGAGATCAGTGGAGCTGCACTCCAACTGAGGGATTGTTTAGGCCTAAATGCTGCAAATGAGCATCAATCTTTTCTGTGTGAAGTTACTATCTTCATCTGTTGATTGTCTTTTGTCTTAAATCATAAGTCATATACAAGCATCATTCATTGTTGAACTTACTCAAATATATATATTTTTTAAACAGAAAAAAAAAGCACTTGCAGAGTGCAGACCTCTGCCAAGAGGCACAATTCCATTCCTTAAGCTGGCTGCAGAACCTCAGAGCAGAGCAGCCAATGGGACCAATGGAGCATGCCGCGTGTAATAAACTGTTTTGCTTAATAAGATAAGAATAAAAATACAGAAAACTATTATCTCGTTAAATGAATGGGACTCATGCCGACCCACACATGCACAAATGTGTTTTTTCACATTTTCCTTCCCCCGGCCATTTTGAAAAAGCCCACCGACAGCAAAAGTGGTGGTACGATAGTTTCAGTAGCGGAGATAGGCGTGAATACGTCTGTTAATATCAACTGTCTATGTACTGAACACAGGTTGCCTTTGCATTCAAGACACAAAATCTAGAAGAAGATTAAAACGACAAGAATTCATGTCGTTTTATAAACGATAGTATTTTTTTTTTTTTAAACAGCTTTAATTATTACAATCTTTTCACCATGTGCCATCAGGTGTTGTGATGATGCTTATGACTTAATGGGGACATAACGCGATACTGATATGATAATTTACAACCCCCATAGCTCATTATTAATCAGATAGTTCAAATTGAACTTTTAGATTGAGAGTAAAAATAAATAAGTCATAAACCTTCTCATTCAGTCCCCCTCTGACCCGACCCTGGTCCCTGACGCAATGTGAGCAATAATGGCTGTGCGAGGCGGGTGAATCGTCCACTTATCATTGTTTATAGATGAGACAATTGGCAACGGCGATATGCATATAAGGATATAAATAACATGTACTAAATTACTCTAAAACAGCTTTGAGTGTGTAATTTTTCAGTTATGTCCCCGATAGTTTAATCACCACACACCCATATGCCCAACTGGAATCACTGTGTTTAACCAAACAATATCCATTGCTAATCCATAATGGCATGCCTCGTTATTGATATAGGCCTAAAGTACTGTATCTGAAGTACGAACACAGCCATGTGTGGCAACTGCAAAGAAGGACATTCTTTGTTCTGTGAACAAAATGCTACCTTAAACTATTTCATGTTACCTTTGAGTTACCAGGTGAAGTGCTCTTACATTAATGTTGTTGTATATTTATTGTTTAAAGTCCGTATGTGCCAGAATAGACTGTGTATTCTTTGTTAATTGTATGTGTAGTACATTCTACAACGCTTGCTTTCTTTAGCATAACATGTATAATATTGTTATACTTGGTATATACTGATCTTGCTGTTACATTTGATCTATGTATGTATAAAATATCAAATAAAGAGCAAACATATTCTGGCCTGTTGTCTTTCAATCACAGATCATGCAAGGTTCTCACCCAGAGGGGATTTATATGATTTGCCATTTGTTATTATAACAAATGCATCTATGGTGATTGTTAAGTTTATTTCTCGACAGATCCCAAACTTGAAAAGGTACACAACTCTACTTGAAGTTTAAGTGGAGTTCACTCTAATGAACAGACTTTCACTCCTCTTTTAGGATTTTATTGTTCTCTGGTCATTGACGCAGGTGAAAGACCTCAAAGACAAACAAACAAAGCAGGAGTAAATATACATGTAAATAAAAATGTTTTTAAACATTTATATCAAAGTATGTATATTTTGTACTAGAAGAGTGAAACTCCAGTATTGAACCTGTTTGGGTGGGGAGTGTCTTTGCAGGATTGCTCCCTCCGGGGTGCAATGGCAGTGGTGGCTGAGACTAGAGGATGGTAAACCTGGGGTTGGACAGCACAGTGGTGACCTCCTGCAGGTCGCTCTGTCTGCTCCGAAGAGCATCCTCTGTGACACATCCTCTGTGTTTCACAACCTACATTAGAGCCATGCACAGAATTTTGCTCCACATTCACAAGAAATGTTGACAGCAAATGCACCACCCGCAGGTCACGTTAAAACAAGACATTTCCCACTTACACCAATAGATGGCAGTCTGTCTCACTAGTGATATTTTATTTAATTGATCACGTGACATATATTTTGAATATAGTGTTTTATATTCATAAAAGTAGAAATGTGAAAATGAATAATCCCAAAATAACAATTTTTTCTAATGTATGTAGATTTTTATTCATTTATGCCATGTTCTATTCTCTACTTTTTAACTTGTTTGCAATGAGAGCCAAAGCATTTTCCTAGTTTGTGTCTTTTTGTTACTCACATGGCAATACAATAATTCTGCATCTGATCCTGATTATGTTTAATAACCAAATCAAAGACCAATGAGAGACAATATTAGTTGTGACAGGCTTGTGTTTTTATGATTACACTGCTTATACTGCTTGTTGTTGTTGAAGAGTGTCACGGCCCTGCTGAAGTCCCAGGCCAGTATATTGTTCCCCGTTTGGATTGAGTGTGTTTTGTGTGTTTGTGTGCGCGTGCGTGTGTGTATGAATGCGTGTGCGTAGATGAGTGTGTGTGTATCATAGATCTATTATACTAAGGTGTGTATATCGAGATCCCTGGCCTGTGATTGGAGAACCACTGGCCCTGGCCTCCCAGTGAGTCCGTAACTCAGGTGCTGATTGGAGGAGCAGCGGCGCACCTGGCCAAATGCAGCTTCCCCACTCGGAGTCAACATTTCTGTTATGAAAATATTTGCTTTGCCTTTTAACATTTTTTTTTGTTAACTCCCTTACCTTAGCAGAGCTGGGTCGTAACAATAAGTAGTTCCACAGCAGACAGCGTCATGAACAGCACTGTGAAGAGCTTCTCAGTGGGTTATAATCCCATCAATGAAAGCAATGTTTTTTCTAATGGGGACGTCATAAGAGGACAGGTGATGCTTGAACTCACTAAAGACGCAGACGTGAATGCTTTAGGTGTGAAACTAAAAGGCAAAGCAGAGGTACGATGGACTGAGAAACATGGGAAGAGGAGAGTAATGTTTATTTATATAGCGTCTTTCACAGACCAGTCACAAAGCAGCAGTCACAGGGCTATTGTTACTCCACACAGAGTTGGGAGCGGCGTCACTATATAGGGAACATGTCTGGACACCAGCTTCAGTAACTGGTTAAACTGCTTTATAATTAATGTACATGTACAATTGTATATTGTATGTACTTTATTTGAACAGGGACAGTGTACAGTTAAGCATTAACACAAAAGGAGAGATGCATGTACCAGGTTATAGCAGATATGCTAATTTCCACCTGTAGTCCCAATAGGTCTGGCATGTGCCCTGTACTGTTATCACCACGTGTTGGATACGCAGTGTTTGTTAACGTATAACAGTATAAAAAAAAGTATAAACTGAGCGTCTTGCTCCTTTAACACAAGTCAATACAATTCAATACCTTCTCCACTGTTTGTAGAGTTGGAAGAACTCAAACTGCAGGACGTGATCAAATTTAAAACTACTCAAACTATGTTCAGGGCATCTCAAAATTCTCTGCCTCCTAATGTTCAAAACTAATTCATGATAGACACGATCATCATAGTTACAAATGTGAGATTTCATAACACTTTTAACCAACTTTTGTTAAAGTTAAACTCATGATTCTATCAATGTGCAGAAGCCAGTACTTTTCCACTACTTGTTTTGACTATCTCTGTTGGCACTGTGGCAGCTGCTGATTGGAGGTCTCTGTTTCTCCTGAGTATATCACAACTGGCTGTCGTAACATCCTTTGTTCGTGTTGTTCGTGCTGTCTCTACCATCGACAATAAAACATGTCTTCTGTCTGAATGAAAGACACGATCCCAGACATTGTCATCTTCTTCACAAACTTAGAGGAAACAAAATTAAATATCTACCTAAATTTGCTACCTAAAATCAATGTGTATCTCAGTGCGGGGAGTGAAACTTTGGAATAACTTTCCGGATGAATTCAAAAACTGTCAAAGCATAATTCATTTCAAACAGTTGTTTAAACAAAATGTATTAAAGAAATATGTAGAGGAAGGAGAGTGATGCCCTCAGCATGAAGCAAAGAGGAGAGGGTGTGGGGTCAGAGAGTATTTGGGCCTGTGTCTGTGGTGTGTTGTGTGTGCGTTGTCTTGTTTGTCTTGTCTCTGTGGTTGTGTCATATATTAGTTCACTGTGCTGTACAATTTTACAGCTGTTTATGAAAGATCCTTTATGTATCCGGTTCTTGTACTGTACTTTGTGTTGAATGTTTTTAGTGGTAGGGGGAACCGGAGCAGCCGAAGGACACCTCTGCAGACATAGGAGGAACATGCAAACTTCACCTAGAAAGGCCCCGTTCCGACCGGGCCTTCAAACACCAATGAAAAACAATACAAGTTGTGACAGGCTTGTGGTTTAATGATTACACTGCTTATTGCTGCTGAAGATAAAAAAGGTCGTCAGCGTAGTTCCACAGCAGACAGCGTCATGAACCGCACTGTGAAGAGCTTTTTAGTGGGTTATAATCCCATCAATGAAAGCAATGTTTTTTCTAATGGGGACGTCATAAGAGGACAGGTGATGCTTGAACTCACTAAAGACACAGACGTGAATGCTTTAGGTGTGAAACTAAAAGGCAAAGCAGAGGTACGATGGACTGAGAAACATGGGAAGAGGAGAGTCACATACCACAGCAAAGAGAAGTACTTTAGTATCCAGCAACTTTTCTTTCAGAAAGACCGCGGTGAGTAACAGCTTTAAGAGTGAGTTGAAGTTCTTGATAAAACTTAAGTTACAGAAATTCTTATCTGAAAAAAAAACCCTAACCAATAATGACTATCTCAAAAGCGTCTTATTGACTGCAGGTATAAATTATTCCAATCAATCAATCACTGAATATATTTTCCACAAAACCTCCACAATTGTACTTATCCCTTTACAAATGTTTACCAATGAGTAAGATAAACGATGAGACTGTGTGTGAATTGACAACACAATATTTCCCGTGACCTTACTTCTGCTTTCTTGAGTTTGTCGTTTCATGTTACAATACCTACAATCTACAGACTGGCTCTAAGTCATCTCAAACAGTTGGTAAATGTCAATGTTGCAGCTCACATCCTTGACAGTTGGATAATGGAGCACATAAAACAAGAAATTGTGAGTGTTCAAAAAAAAAAAAAAAATCACAATAACCTATATGCTATATACATTACAGTGAGTAAAAAGTATCTGCAGCTTTGCTTATGTAGCACATTTCTGGACACTTCGATATGCTTTAATTTGCAGTATAAATTCACTCCTTACAAGAGTATCTTTTTAGCTACAGCTGCCCCGATAAAATGCTGCTAATCAGTGGAAACAGCCTCTCCCACCACCATAAATCATGTTTACCAGATAAATTCTGTGTAATGTGGGTGAAGAGTCTTGCTGGAGGAAAAAATGACAGTTTACAGTCGAGAGCCACAGCCGCCCCACCGTGGCACCTGCAAAAGCTCCCATGGCTGTACTATTCAGACCACAACATTTACTGTAGCTTGAAAACATTATGAGAGAAATGTGAATAATATTGTACTGTTTTCAGGAAACAACCATGTGAGCCGAGGCACCGCTGTCTACCCATTCACCTTTCAGATCCCTGCACAGTAAGCTATTTGTTATACAAAGTTGTTCGACTATGGACTAATAAAGTTGTGTACCTGCAATCATTTTTCAGAGACTTGCCTCCATCTTTTAAAGGTCAATGGGGCAGAATTGTCTACACACTAGAAGCATGTCTGAGCAGGCCCATGAGACTGGACAGCAAAACTAGCACAGAGTTCTTACTGGTTTCAAAAACTAGGGTTATGGATCCAAGTCTAATGGTAGCCTAACGTTCACAATGTTGTTTGGCTGAATTGAATACTCTTACTGTGTGTAATTTTCCCCAATAGGTTCCACAACACGGTGTCAAGGATAAACAATTGAAACTTTTCAACTCTGGATACGTAGCAATGGACGTGAATATTGACAAGACTGGATTTCAACAAGGTAAATACAATTTTCAATGTGCCTAAACTGTGAATAAGTCTTTAACTGTTCTGTATATGTTCAATATACTGATGACAATTAAACTATTGGTGTTTGTCTGATGTGGGTAATGTGTGTTGACACAACAACAGTGTGGCATTTTACAGCCACAGCCACCAAACCAGGTGTTCCCAGAGGTCTCCCTAGTGTTATTACAGGATTGGTCAAGTGGCACCACATTATTCAAACTGTTAAATAACTTGTCGAGGTTAGCCATAGATCCATGAGGTTGGCTCAATCAATTAGACTGATGTCTTTCTAACCAAAGTGCTACTGCATTGTAGCCTTTGGTGAAAGTCTCTAAACAATATTTTCATGTTTTTGATACACAGGAGTGTACTTCTGACATTACTTTTGGAAGAGCTTATGCAAAATGTTAATGTTTTAAGTCCAGCTATGTCAAGTTATGGAAAAACTTGACATTGCAGAGATATCAAAAAAAATAAAAAATAAATAGTGAGATGAGATGCTCTATTATGGCTCATGAAGAATAGTGCGAGACTTAAAAAGAAAAATAATGTATTTCCGGGTGGGTGCCAAATGGAATGATGTTCTTTGCTTCCATTTCCATACATATCTGTAAACCAGGGGTAATCCAACCTAATCCAATTTATTTATAAAGCATATTTTATAAAACACGGATAAAAGTAAGACAGCTCCCTTTGGAACGTGTAAGTGGAATTTAGTTTGACTCAATGCAAAAGGAGCATTTGTGTAGAGTGAAGAACTAAATAAAAACATCACGTGTATATTTTTAATGAGCTCAAAGTCCACCGTTATCCACAGCTAATTATGCAGATAGGTTTTATACATTTTGAGTGTAAAGAACTGTAAAATTATTATCTAACCCACTTAATTCATGAATGCCATTTTCCGAATTATTAATTTATACAGCAGACTTTCTAATCAAGAGTTTATAGTAAAAAATAATAGCTTGCTTTATAAAAACGCCATTACTTTATTATTTTACATGAAACACAATAGAAATGATATGTTAACAGATGCATAACGGATTACAAAAAGGTCTATCTGGTTGCATATACTTGTATGGCTTATTAAACATTAAAAAAAACATGCACGCTTGTCGATATATGTGAAGGCTGATGAGGCTTGATTGCACTTCTTGCACCACATTTGTGAATCCTACAGATTCTTTGAAACTGCACGCCAGTGGGGAGTTGATGACATCCCATTGCTTTATCATCTGCAGGAGAAGGAATACGAGTTGTGGCCTCCATTCAAAATAAGTCATCCCGGGATGTACGCCCCAAGTATTGCATATACACAAAGCACAGTTTTTTTGCTAGAGGAAAAAGGAGGTTGCAGACTATGGATGTACTGAAAGATGTTGGAGATGCTATACCCCCCTCTGCTGGTCAAACTATCACCAAAGTCATCAATGTGCCTGCCACTTTATACCCATCTATTCACAACTGCAACAACATCAAAGTGGAGTACAGGCTCAGGGTATGTAAAGCAGCTTTCTTCACGGCAGGCAGTTGAAATTAACTTACACATGTTGTGTTTTTGCAGGTCTATTTGGATGTCAAATATGTGTCTGATCCAGAGATCAAGTTTCCCATAGTGATTCTTCCCATTGCACGGGGCGCTTGTGTACAAGGCTATCCCACTGGATTTGAAGCTTTCACCACAGCTGGGAATGACCCTTTTCTGTACCCAGGGGCACAGCCCTCAGCCCCACCTACCTATCAAGAGTATGGCATTTATCCACCCATGCCCAATTATTATACAAACAAATCATGAGGCAATTCTTGTTTCCCCTCTCAATTATCACTGGTTATTTTGTGTGACCTTTCATCTGTGTGTTTTTCATTGGCACAGGAAATTAGTTAGGCTAATTGCAATGTATAAATAAAGGATTATGTCCCAATTATACATATTTTCAGTTAGTTCTAACAAACTGTGCGGTTCATGTATACAAACACATTCCTAGAGTGCATTACAGATTGATCAATAGACGTATAAATTAAGTACACTAATTTCCTCTAAATTATTCAGGTTCTTTCATTAGATGTGCATACTTAGGGGTCTCCAACCTGGAGCTCGGGAGCCACCAGTAGCTCACCGCCCCCCTTCCAGGTAGCTCGCCAAAGGATTTAGAAATGAACACATTGAATAAAAACATTATTGTCCCAGCAAAATGGATCTCTGCATGAAAAAGGTTGGAGACACCTGCTACAGACGGACATTTTGTTTGATACATTTCGAAAACATTATCTAAGATGGGGATATTAAGATCAAAGGCCATTTTCAACACAGGATTAAAAGCTTCCTTGCCACCTTAGAAAAGAAAAAAAAAAGATGAGGAAATGCAAAAATCCAGAAGGAGGCGTGTTGGCCTGACAGCGTGTGCGCATAGGGCATGGATCAGTGGGCTCGTACAGGGTGGTATTGACCAGATGCATCAACGTCATCCAGTCACGTGATTGTGAATGAGCTTACGGCGGAAGTATTGGAAACTAGCATTGCTGCAAGAGCAAAACGGACTACAACTCTTAAAAACGGAGCTTCCTCTCCTAAATCGAGAAGTGGCTGCTTCAAGCACATGTTCGATTACGTTATAGGTGGAAGTAGGACATCAGGTCAGGGCTCACAAAGAGTGGTATTTGGAGAAGTTAAGGATTGCCTAACTGGATGTTGACCCGTACCTTCTCTCCCCAGTAAATTTTATCGATTAAATAAAATGTCTATTTTTGCCCGAATTCACCCTACATGATCTTTATCATTATCGTTAACAATGCATCCCCTCACACTGGAGCAGATTTATATGCACATTTTGATGGTAGCATTAGCAATAGTCCACTTTTCTGTGGCTTTTCTGTCTACAGCCAAACATGATACGTACTGACGGAGAGGAAAATAGTGAAACACGCAATTGACTTAAAAGATAAAAATGTCAATGTTGCAGCGCACATACAGGACAGCAGTAAGAGACACGTTTGACGTGTGTCATTGTCCTCCACATTAATGGAAATAAAATAAATACAAACTTGTGATTGCTTTATCTTGTAAAAAGTGTTCACTGCATATTAGGGAGTACTTGGATGGGTCAGTCTATGGTCCCAGTCCTTTTGGTTGATTGCCGCTGGCCATCGTCGTCTTCTGTCTTCATGACGAGCAGGTATCAGATAAAAAAGCTTATGTCCTTGCCTGTTAGTATAATCAACCGCACTGCAAAATGTCACAGTTTTGGCTGTAATGCGCTGAAACAGGTTGTTTTGGTCAGGTGTCCGTAGGCTCGCAGTTAGACTTCTGCCGTCTGTCATGGAGAGTGGGCGTGGCCGGGACGTCACATGCAGGAGACTGAAATACGAGACCACAGCTATTGAGAATGAGGAGTTGACGTCACGGCACAGAGTCCCCCCTCCCCATCCCCCCTTTGCCGACATATTGGCTGCGCACCGGTGGCGGCAGTACAGTTTGTTTACGTGTGTTGTGAACGCGGTAGTAGCGGAGGTTCTTGCTATTCCGCACTGTTTTATCATGCCTGGAAATAACTGCTGCGTTAAAAACTGCTCCAATACCTCCCACGATGGATATGGAAAACCTAGTAACAACGGGATACAGTTTTTTAGGTTACCGAAATGGAAAAAGCATCAAGGGGAGCAATTCTCTGACCTGACAAGGAGACGTCGGATTGCTTGGTTGGCTGCAATTAGAAGAAAGGACCTTACTTTCGATCACACACCCCTGTCGACGAGAGTGTGTTCTCTGCATTTTCACTCTGGTACGTTCTCTAAAAATGTATTTATGTAGTTGTCTCTTAAAGCTAGGAAGTGTAGGTTAGCATATGTTATTATGGTTTCTGTAGTGCCTTTGTCTCTGTGTCTTTGTTACCCTCTCAGGCTGTTTCTTACTTAGCACGTGTTCTGCGAGGTCTTTGCCAGTGTAAAGCATAGATTACATAGATTGTACACATAATCTAATTATTCTGTTGTACATAAACCTTCATATGACATTATGAGGTGACCTAAAAAGTACTTGAGATGCTGTTCATGACATAGTTGCCAGTTTAAAGCATTGATTACATAGATTATGCAAATTATTATATTAATTATATGTTGTTATTATTCTCGTGTAGGTAAACCAGCATATGAGATGTTGGAGAACCACCCTGACTGGACACTATCCCTGTTGTTAGGCCACAATGATGTACAAAAAACAGATGAAGCAAGATATCAGCGGCAAGTAAGGCGCAGGTCCCTGCCACTGGAGCGGCAGCCACCTCCAGCCCAACACCAGCCGCAGGCGCCGCCGCCTCCAGCCCTAGACCAGCTGCAGCCACCACCAGCCCTAGACCAGCTGCAGCCGCCACCAGCCCTAGACCAGCCGCAGGCGCCGCCGCCACCAGCCCTAGACCAGCCGCAGGCGCCGCCGCCACCAGCCCTAGACCAGCCGCAGGCGCCGCCGCCACCAGCCCTAGACCAGCCGCAGGCGCCGCCGCCACCAGCCCTAGACCAGCCGCAGGCGCCGCCGCCACCAGCCCTAGACCAGCCGCAGGCGCCGCCGCCACCAGCCCTAGACCAGCCGCAGGCGCCGCCGCCACCAGCCCTAGACCAGCCGCAGGCGCCGCCGCCGCCAGCCCTAGACCAGCCGCAGGCGCCGCCGCCGCCAGCCCTAGACCAGCCGCCAGCTGACCCGGACATGGAATGTGGACTCTGCACATCTAGACGAGATGTTATCAACAATCTTCTTGAAGAAAACAGACAGCTGAAGCGTGAGCTTGATACGTACCGGATGAATGAGAACTTTCTGAGTGGTGATGATAACACAGTGAAGTATTACACGGGGCTTCCAAACTTTGCATTGTTCCAGACACTTCTACTCTACCTAACTCCAGATCTGCCTCAAGGTAGAATGAAGAAGCTCTCACCCTTCCAGCTTGTCCTATTGACTTTAATGCGCCTCAGACTGGACCTTCCAATACAGCACCTCAGCCATCTGTTTAGAGTACATAGGACAACAGTCGCCGATGCCTTTCACCATACCCTTGGTGTGATGTACGCACAGCTGTGTCCATTGGTGCACTGGCCAAGTAGGGAATGCTTATTGACCAGTATGCCACACCAGTTTGTGGAGTCATTTGGGAACAATGTGGCTGCCATTGTGGACTGCTTCGAGGTGTTCATCGAGAAACCTTCCAATGTACTAGCAAGGGCACAGACTTTTTCTCAATACAAACACGCATACACTATGAAATACCTAATCGTGATCACGCCCCAGGGTGTAATTTCCTTCATATCGAACGGGTGGGGTGGGCGCACAAGCGACAAGCATATAACCGAGCAAAGTGGTTTCCTGAACAAGCTGTTACCAGGTGACATTGTGCTGGCAGATAGAGGCTTTAATATAAGAGAACATGTGGGCATGATGTGTGCTGAAGTGAAAATACCTACATTCACCAGGGGTCGTGCTCAGCTTGAGGCGAAAGATGTGGAGGAGACTAGGGCCATAGCACATCTCAGAATTCACGTGGAGAGGGTGATCGGTGTTGTGCGCAACAAATTCAAATTCTTACACTCAACTGTACCTGTGCACATGCTTGTCAAATGTGAGGGTGAAAACCTAATGCCTTTGGATAAGATTGTCATTGTTTGCTGTGCCTTAACGAACATGTGCAATGTTGTTTGAGTACCTTATTCTTTACTGTATCTTTTATTTTTAAATAAATGCATGAAACAACTTGATATGGTTTACCAATATTTATTGAGAAATGAATATTTTTTTTGTTACAAACGTGTGCAGTCAAAGTACTGTTTCCAGCATGTAAACATGCCCAACATAGGTAAAAATGATAATAAGAGTCATACTTTTCTTAGTGCAAAGGGACACAAAACACTGCTAAACAACGTGTGCTTTCAAAGTACTGTTTCCAGCATGTAAACATGCACAGCATAGGCAAAAATGATCATAAGAGTCATACTTTTCTTAGTGCAAAGGGACACAAAACACTGCAAAACAACGTGTGCATTCAAAGTACTGTTTCCAGCATGTAAACATGCACAACATAATAAAATAAATTATAACATAAATAATAATAACAAATAAGACTGTTATTAGTGCAAATGTACAAAAAAACACTGCAAAGGCACACAGCAATAACAATAATACAATTTTAAGAAATAGGAAAAACCTATTCTGCACAACAAGGGCAAAACCATGGCGTGTCACCAGAGGGTTTATTAACAAGCCCCACACAACTGAAGTGAAACCACTGGACTGGGCAGTTCTGGTTGTCACAGGCCACCATGTCACCCTCCTCTGGTCCAGAACAGAGACACCACACTTCCTTGGCTTTTTTGGCTGGCTGCCTTCGCGGCCTCTTCCCACCTACTTGTTGTGGCTGTGGCTGCTGTAGTTCACGTAGCACACTGTGACCAGGTGATGGTTGACAGGTGGGGATAGTGTAGTATTGCACCGCAAGTTCAGGGAGAGCCACCATCACAAAGAAGTCCTGTGCCTTCTGGAGTCGTGCCTTCCAAAAAGCACGGTCTGGAGCTATGCGCAGAGTCACTGTGTCCATCAAGGTCCACACAACAAAGTCGCAGTAGGACCTCTCTGTCACAAACAGTTGTGTCTGGACTTGGGTGTAATACGGGTGACTCTTTTTAAGGTGCACCTGACCATCAACAACATGCAAGCAGAAGTTGATTCTTTCCTCCACCGCGCAAACAACACCGCTCCAAACATGTCGAATACAGTAAAGGACCTGAAAGTGTCGTATAATCCTGCAAGCAATGAAGAAAACACATTTACCAGCGGGGATATGGTGTCAGGACAAGTGGAGCTGGAGTTGGTGAAAGAGTGCGACGCGCAGACCCTGTCCATAAAGTTCAAGGGGAAAGCAGAAGTTCTGTGGACCGAGCGCCACGGACAGACCACCGTAGTGTACCACTCCAAGAACAAGTATTTCAGCATCAAGCATCACTTCTTCACAGACAAAGACAAGTCAGGTAACGCCCGTTAAAGCTCGGGTACATACATTTTTTCTTCATAAAAATGTACTACAGAAAATAGTAAAATTACAATGTTGTGCACAAATCAGACCACATCAAGCTGTGTTCAACTTATTAAATAAACATGTTATACTTTGCATACTTAAGTAACAAAAAGCCACAATTTGACGCTTTGGGCTTAGAGCCAAGTTTCATGCATTTATAAACTAGTGATAGAACCAAACTAATATGGAGCTAATTTAATATGACGGTTTTTAAATGCTTAGTCCCAATTTATTGCAGTTTGGAAGGCACCCCAGCTTTTCCTAATACTTTTTTTGTATTTTTCTTTTTTTAATTTATAACACATGTTTTGGTTCCAACTGAAAGAGTCCCAACAAATCAGACAAATGCTGTGTTATTATATTATTAGCACATATTTTTTAATCCTTTGTATCCTTGAAAGAATGAGCCCTATGTCCTTATTTGAGTTGAGCGAGGGTGGTTCTCTCTCACACATTTCTGTCTGAACATGCTGATCTAAAAAATGGGCTATAACGAGTTGATTGATGGCAGTTGTCAAATAATTTAATTGTTTTGTTTTTTTGTGAAGAGGTTTTAGAAGAATGATATGATGATTGCTGAATGAAATTAAAAATCTTTTGTTTACAAAGTATTTGAATCAACTCAAAGCTGTCTCCTTTAATATGTTCTCAGGAGCATCACAAACAATTCCATTTTCACTGAGCTTTTGGGATACAAACACCTCATTGATTAGGTGGAAGAAGTAATAATTCTGAGCGACCTACATGGATATAATAAAAAGTAAACTAAATTGTGCTTTGAAAGTAGGGTTACCCAGCTTTAAGGCATGCATTCATCCTAATTTAAGCATTTTTTGTGTCTTTTTTTCTTTCTTTTTGGTGGGGTACAGTTAGGTGCTCAAAAATAAAGCATGCATAAATTAAATAGCTGTATATTGTATTGGAAGTGCATACACATTAAACTGATATGGGTTTATTAATTTTTGTACATTACCGCTCTGGATAAAATGTTACAATATTACAATGCGTGAGTTTTAGACATATCACCTCACCTTGAAAATGAAGCAAACTCAAACAAGAGAGTTGGCCCATTTAGACCATTTTATTTATTTATTTGATAAAGGGGGAACAATACAAATTATTGAACATTTTTACAAATGTAAATATGCCAGATTATAGCCTTAGGCTAATTTACATCTGCAGACCCCTTGGCAGGTTGGTGTTACACACAAGTTAGTAAAAACAAACAGAGACACAATTTATATACAGAGAGACAGGGACAGTGATCACATGTTAGAACAACCAGCAAGAGTAGACAGTAAAGCACAATGTAGAAAACAGTAACAGAAACACATCATCTGTATTGCACAAACCCGAGTATTGCACATGCCCTGACTGACCTGATATTACGCAGACCCATATTGCACCACTCTATATCGCACTAGCCCTCATTACACTAACCCGTATTGGACCACTCCTTAATGCACTGACCCACCTTGTATGGACCTGTATTGCACAGCCCACATTACAATGATAACCGTTTCCCGCACTGCACCAGCTCTATCTAAACATGATCACATGTTTGAGTGTCCCTCAGCCACATTAAAATGACTCCTGAAGGTAGGCAGACTGGTTCTTTCCCTCACTGACACCGGAATACTATTCCAGAAGCTCACTCCCTGATATGACAGGACGTTCTGTGAGAAAACGGTCCTCCTAAATGTCAGTTCACCGTCGCCTCTCGCAGTGGTTCGAGTCACTCGAGAACTGGCAGTACTACTAGACTTTGGTTTAATAAAATCGCTCATTGGTGGAGGCGCTAGACCATGTATAACCTTATAGATTAGGCATGCTGATTTAAACAATTTGAAATTATCAAATTTTTATAATTTATATTTGTCTAAGATTTGACAATGATGGTATGACGAAGGCTTCTTGTCTAATATTTTCAAAGCTCTTTTGTAACATACTTCAATTGGCCCAATGGCAGCATGACTCGTATAAGACCAGCTTGTGATACAGTACTCAATATGAGCCAGTATCATAGAGTGCATGAATGTAATCGCTGCTGTATCCGTTAATGATGTTCGGATATGTCTGAAGTTCCGTAAATGAACATTTACAGTTTTCACTATTTTTTTCACGTGATTTTTGAAGGATAATTTTGAGTCTATTAGCACTCCCAAATACTTAAATTCCTCAACATTAATTAATTCTTTTCCACTCAAGCAAACTTTTACTGTGGCCACGGGTGTTTTAGGTTTAGTAAAAAACATTGGCAAGTCCATTACTGTATTATTGCAACAAACACACATTGTTTATAGTGTATTGATAGTATATTAAATGGACCTGAGCTGGAGGAAGTCTGTCGTTCTTTTTTTTTTCTCTTTTTTTTTTTTTTTTTTTTTTTTTACAATACTCTAACATACAATACATGTTCATCCATAATCCAAAATTGACTCTTGAAAACGTTTACTCACTTATGCACTCCCACACCTGTATGAATCATTGTCGATACTACTCACTGTAAAATGTGTGTTTTTATTTCCAGAGTGTGATGATAGGGAAAGACTTCAAGTGGGAGACAACCCATCGTGTAAGTCCTTGGTGTTAGAATACCACTGTTGATATTATTAATGAAGTAAAATTATGACATTTTTCACCACCAGTTGATAATAATGTTCTTCCACCTGGCATCCATATATACCCGTTCACTTTTCAGTTTCCCATGCAGTAAGTATACTATAACTACTTTGTCTTCTCGAAAATATTATTAAAACCAATAATACTGTAAATGTCATCTCTATTATTTTTGTCAGGCACACACCCTCCTCCTTCCACGCTAACACTGGTAAAATTGTGTATTTACTTGAAGCCAAGTTGAGTCGATCAATGAGGATTCCCAAGAAAGATACGACAAAGCTCAACTATGTGACACAAGACACCATGGACAACAATCCGGAACTCAGGGTAGGATTTTATATGGACATTCTTCACATTCCAACATCTGCGATGCCAATCACACAGCTCTGCCAGCCTCGAGCCTCAGCCAATCTCACAGCTCAGCCAGCCCCCCTGCCAACCACTGACAGCAAAGCCGGCAGTTAAAAAGCAGCCACTTGCTACTAACCAGCCCTTCCTGAAGCTCTTGACACCCACCGCCTCCCCAGCACCTCCTCGTGCTCCTGCTCTGGCTCCTGCTCCGCCTACTCCCCATTCACACCATGCTTCTAGCCACCACCAGTGCTTGACCCCGGAGGATCTGAGATCATCTCAGCAGCAGTGATCTCCGCTCTGCAAGTGTCACTGCCGGGGTCAATGCGCCAAACAATAAATCTTTCTAAATGCATTAACGTGTCTGTCTTGGTCTCTCCAGATTGAATTGGTTTTATCAATAGTTTTTACAAGCTAGTATTTTTGGATCAGCTTTTCCAAACAGAAAAGAGAATGCAAGCTGATAAGCTCATATATTTATTTCTGTTGGGACAAAAATATATATATAAAACAGTAATATTTATAGAGGCATGTTTTGTTGAACTGTATAATTTAATTTTCAGGTGCCACAACATGAGACAAAAGACAAGAAACTAAAACTTCTGAACTCCGGTACGGTCTCTATGGATGTAGATATTGATAAAGTCGGGTACTATCAAGGTGAGTTTGACAATTGATTGACATTTTCTGGTTGGCATTCTTTCTTTCTGTCTCAATACTTATATTTTTGCAGGGGAGAGCATTCAAGTCTTTGCTACCATTCAAAACAACTCCTCTCGAGATATCCGGCCCAAGTTTTGTCTTTACAGTAAGCAAAGCTTTTTTGCAAGAGGCAAGAGAAGACTTCTCACCAAAGACCTGGTCAAAGAGGTGGGGGAACCCATCCTTCCGTCCAGCAGCAAAAAGGTCACCCAGCTTGTCAGCATCCCCTCCGACATGGAGCCCTCCATCCATAACTGTGACATCCTCAGAGTGGAGCACAGGCTGAGGGTAAGGGCTTCACCTTCTGCACTATGAACATAGGTTTGATTGTTTGAATTTAGTAAGAACCAAACCATGTTTTTTTTTTTTACTTGTTTCCCTTTTATTTAATTCTCTAAAATTGTCTAATTTGAACATGTAAACTTATACAATAGGGTTTACATGCTCAAATATTAGATGGGGGTTAGGAGTAACATATTAGGGTAAAAAAAAATCCTGGTTTGAGTACACTGTGTCATATATCCATTAGTCCTAATGTTTTAATGGCGTAAACTTTGGCATGAAGTGAACCGTGACCATAAATCCAATGGACTAAAATGATAAATGTATTCTGCAGGTCTACCTGGATATTAAATATGCTTCAGACCCAAAAATCAAATTACCCATTGTGATTCTGCGTGCTCAGCCCGTCTGTGGCAATGCTCCACCTCCAGCTGCTTCAGACTTTGGAGTTGGAGCCTATGGAAATGCTCAGCCTCCAATTTATTGCCCCATGCCCTACGCCCCACAAGGACCACAATATATCCCTCCACAGCCAGGGGCCACGACTCCTCTTTCAGCTCCAGCAGTAAACCCCTCGGACCCCCCTCCTCCATATACAGCTTATGGACTGTACCCTACTCTACCACAGTATGACACCAAGCCTTAGCATCATGTTTTGTTCATAACATTATTATCAGTGTTGGGTTAATATGTCTCAAAAGTAACCAGGTTGCATTACCTTGGGATTGTGTATGTGTGTGTATGTGTTCGTTCGTGTGTGTGTATATGTAATTATACTCCCACTAAATGCAAGATTAAAAACGGTATACAGGCGCAAATTAATATATGTATTCATTGATTTTATATATATATATATATATATATATATATATATATATATATATATATATATATATATATATATATATATATATTTTTTTTTATAAAATAAAAATGTTGTCCTTCATTTCAAACTAATTTTGAAGTCATATCTTTATTACCTAAATTCTGCTCCATGAGTCAACAATCCATTATGATGATGCCACTGGAAAACCTTGCGTATGTGCACATGGGACCGACGCCTGGGGCCGCCTCTTACCACATGACTACTACACACTGGTGAAGCCAGTTTAGCAGGAAGCTTTTGTTGTTCATTGAACACATTAAACTTTTACTCTGCAGTCCTGAGCTCGACTGAGGGTGACACAATGACGATCCAGAATTTCTCTATCGAATATGATGCCATCAACAGCAAGAACATCTTTTCAACTGGGGACAACATCAATGGAAGAATTGTTCTAGAAGTATCGAAGGAGATTCAGGTCCAAGCCCTGATTTTCAGAGCACAGGGACAGGCCAACGTCTGCTGGCATGAACAACATGGACAGAACGTGCACATGGTCTACACTTCAAAAGAAAAGTACTACAATGTGGAGCATCACATCCTGCCAACCAGGCCATATGGTAAAGTTGAATATCTGCATTAGTTGTTATTCAGGAAGATGAACATATCATTTCTGTATTCTTTATTAAAGGCACTGATGTGATTGGCCCAGGGAAACATGTGTATCCCTTTTCTTTCAAGATTCCTGAAAGGTAAGTTAAAGGAGAAGTATTCCATTTATTCTTAGCTATTAAATTATTTATTTACCTGATCATTTCATGTTTTACAATGTGAAATATAATCTTCAGTAACTTCCCATCAACGTTTAAATCCTCGGTTGGTAAAATCGTGCACAAGTTGAAGGCAGAGCTGAAGCAGTCCATGAAGATGACAAAAATGGCCAAAACGCACATCACATTTGTCTCCCCAGCTGACATGAATATCCCTGGACTTCTGGTAACGTTAATTACTTCACTCAAATCACATAATCACTCCGAAAATTAATGTTGTGTTTTTATAGGAACCTCAGCATGGATCTAGAGATAAAACCATCAGTGCTTTTGGATCCGGAACTGTGGCCATGGACGTCAACATAGAGAGGCTGGGGTATTGGCAAGGCAATACTGCAGGGTGGGGGTGTTGTGGACTATAACGACCAAAAAATAACATTGATATTTAACTTTTACTCAATCGACAGTCAATACTTCTTACTTCACTATAAATTACAGGAACTGGTACTTTTTTATTCAGTCCATTTTCAACTACAGTTTTTTTTCTTTTGATAAAAATGGATCTGTACAGAAAATTGGATCTGCCCAAAGTGGAGGAAACACTATTTTGATAACACAAGAATAAAACAGGAATATTATGCAATCCAACTACCTATTGAGAATTGTAAACAATATTTTGCATTTATGTTCAAATCTGGTCTGAAATCAAGTTTTTTTTTTTGCTTCTGTATTTTTATGTAAAAACATTGAGTGCTTCTTCCACTGCTGAGTTTTAGGTCCACCATTATTGTCTTAATGTTATTTTCATTATATTTATCTAAAAATGGTGGGGCACAAAAAGTTTCAATAAATATATAAGATTAACCAGTTTTGGATGAATTGTATAGGCTTATTTTTATTTTATTTTTTCAGGTGAAGCTCTAAAAGTTACTGTTGAAATCCAAAACCAGTCGTCCCGAGTGGTGAAGCCAAAACTGATCTTTTATAAAAAGAAGAGTCATTTCGCCCAGGGTAAAAGGAGAATGAACACGTCCGACATTTTAAAGGAAAAGTGTGACCCGGTGGAGTCTGGCTGTAGCAAAACTGTGAGAAAAACCATCACCATCCCACAGGAACTGCCCCCGTCTATACTGAACTGCAGCATCATCAGGCTGGAGTACCGGCTCAAGGTAAGACACTGATACAGGGCACTTCAACTACATTTTTTTGAGCACCTGATAAATATTCCTGTAAAGTGGCACGGTCATCAGAATGTTTTTGTGATTTCTACAGTGACGTCATTGTCCTTTTGTTTGTTTTCTATGACTTTTTCATCTAACTTCAACAGTTTGATCACCCACTGTGTCCATGTCTTTGTGTGTGGTTAGGAGACACACACAAAGATAGATAGATTTGTTACTATAAAAAAAAAAAAACTCAAGGTAAAAGTTGACATCAACACTGCATACAACAACAACTAGATTTGAAGGATGGACAGCGCCCAGATTTGGCCCCAGGGCCACAAGTTGCTCTAAAAAAACATGACTATTCTTAAGTATTTGAATGTAAATGTATAAAACACTTTAACCATATAAACATGTGACTGTCCTGCCTTTACAGATCCTACTGGACATCAAATATGCGAGTAACCCTGAGATTAAATTACCCATAGTTGTTTTACCTGAAAAAAGCAGCCACACAGCAACTTCAAAAAAATCAAAGGAATATGAGACTTTGGCCCAACCCACTTCAGGCACAGCGAGCTCCCTCAGCCAGGCCCCGGCTGGGCATGCCCAGGGCCCGGTGCGGTACCCTCCAGCTGCTGCCTCAGCCTCAGACGACCCTCCTCCCTATGATGCATACGCCCTGTACCCATCCTACTCCCACGTGGACCGTCACAGCAGCCATTTGTAGCCCTCTCTTCTGTTAAAGCAGCATGCTCCTCAACAGCAGCTACACCACCTCTGCTACTGTTGTACTTTTTTTTCCTATTGTTAATAACTTTTAGAATTATGTATTTTACTGTTTGTATGGCTGGATGTGTTTCTGCTGCTGGACACCTGAATTTATCTATTACAGTAAGATTTAACCGTCCATCAGGAGTTACACTGCACCAGTTAAAATGATGTTCTTGTGTCGCTGCTCATGTTGATAATCACTGTGGGGGTGACGTCGATGAGTTTTGAGTTACTCCAATTCATATATTGTTTTTTGGCTTGTTGTCATTGTAATATTATTTTCATTGTATTACTATTATTGTAAATGATAAAAAGTAAATGTCAATCTGTTTAGACTGAATTTATCACCAGTTGTGAGCCATAAAGGGAAGAGCCGCACTCTGGACTGCTCAAAGACTAATTAACTGTAAACTAATAGTTGATTGAATCCCTGGGTATGTTTCTGTGAGAGCCATAGATTACAAAAGTAGAAATAACAATCACAAACGTAAATAAAGGGACAATATTGATTTAAATATATGGGTCTGGAAAAGCTGTATAGATATTGACCATCCCTGGTGCTACCCATTCTGAAATGGTTCCAATAGCCACAGTGTTTATGACAAGGGTCCAAAGTCTAATGTGACACTTTAAGATTGATAGCGTTTTTCTCTTTCTATATCTCCTGCTGCATTAGTGTCTGTATTTGCCTTTTATCTGCTACAAGTTCTTCTCTCACAACATTTGATTGAATCTATATTATATATACATGAGCTTCACTTGAAACTCTTTATACATATAGCGCTACAGTGAGGGTGGCAGAGCGAAGGTGGAGGAAAAATAAAACGACAATCAATCACGAAATGTATAAAAACCAACAGCAAATTTACAACAACACAATGAGGAAAAACAGGAACAATTACTTTACAAAACTAATCAGCCAGAACAAAAATAATCCAAAAATCCTCTTTTCAACCATCGACACCATTTTAAACCCTGATTTTAGCATGTCTCTTTTAACCCCCACAGACTCCCTCTGTGAGGATTTTGCAGTCCACTTCATGGGGAAGATAAATACAATCAGATGTAACATTTTATCCAACCGCACAACTGTTTTTAACACATCTGATTGTTTGTCTTGCCAGAGGAAACACTGGACAGTTTTGTCCTGGTTGATGCTGAGATGCTTGATAAAGTTTTCTCCACAGTGAGGCCCACCACATGTCTTTTAGATCCAGTCCCCACTCCATTTTTTAAGTCATTTTATGAATCTTTTAGAGAGGAGCTTTTAAACCTGATGAATTGCTCTCTGCAGACTGGGGTCTTTCCTGCAGCCTTCAAAGCGGCTGTGGTGAGACCCCTTCTGACTACAGACCGGTATCCAACTTACCACTTTTAAGCAAAATTTTCGAAAAACTTGTTTTTACCCAGCTCAATGCCTTTTTAGATCAGCAGCAAATTTTAGAGAAATTTAAATCAGGTTTTAGGGTAAACCACAGCACAGAGACTGCTCTTTTAAAGATTTTAAATGATTTTATACTAAATTATGATTCTAAAAAGGTGACCGTGTTGGTTCTACTGGATCTTAGCGCTGCCTTCGACACAGTAGACCACACCATTCTTTTATCACGCCTACAACACCTCGGCCTCTCTGGTGCTGTCCACAAATGGTTCACTTCTTATTTAACAGACAGATCCTTCATGGTAAGTTTGGATACCTGCTCCTCTCAGGTCCATAAAATCACATGTGGTGTGCCCCAGGGTTCCATTTTAGGTCCAGTCCTTTTTAACCTGTACATGCTCCCTCTTGGCGGTGTCATCAGGAGACATGGAATTGACTTCCACAGTTATGCAGATGATACACAGCTGTACATCTCCATGTCTCCTGATGACACCAGGCCAATGGATGCTCTTTTTAACTGCATTTTAGACTTGAAATCCCGGATGGCAGAAAACTTTCTCCAGCTCAACCAGGACAAAACTGAGGTTTTAGTCATCGGTCCTGAGGCCCAGAGAGAGAAACTTTTATCAAAACTCCAATCACACTCTATTAATCCATCATCACAAGTGAAAAACCTGGGCGTAATCTTTGACTCTGAGCTGACTTTTATTCCTCACATCAAGAACATCACAAAAATAGGTTTTTATCATTTAAAGAACATCGCCAGAGTCCGCCCCATTCTCTCTCGGGGCAACACGGAGACGCTGATGCATGCTTTTATCACCAGTCGCATTGACTACTGTAATGCTGATATTGGAATGTAATTTAAGTTATCATTTTGGTAAATCATATGTGGCTATATGCTGAATGCGCTATTCTGTAATTCACTTCAGCTCCAGCAAAACTCCACGAGGTCTGGGGAGCTCATATGTTAAACACAGCATTCTTTGTTTACGCTAATACAGAGTGTCTTTTGTTGTGTGGGTTCTTCCTTTCCCATCTGCATACGAAGGTGTGTCTTGTTCAACCAAAAGGGGCTTGCCATTTGTGAATCATCAGACTTGTCCTGAGAGAGGCTGGGGTCTGTGCCCTTGCCTCTGTCAAGACATTCTCCTTGTACAATGTAACAAGTAAAAGATTAACTTTGTCTCTTTGTTGTGTGAGATTTCATCAGGTTCAACTGTAGTTGAAACAGCATTATCACTTGGTCCTTCGAGCCGGATTCCAACACTTCTTACAGGAGCTGAGCTTGTCTCAAACATGGACTTCCAGGAGCAACTACAGGGCCTTCTGCATTCGGAACTGCATTGGAACTCCAGGTTTGAGGCAGGACAGCCCTGGGTTGGAGTCAACGGGAGAACTACAGTTTTTTCCTGATGAAATTGCAACAAAGGCAAGTTCTGTACACACTAAATTATGTCCAAAAGTAATCCAGGAAGTAGTGTGATGTTCACATGAACACATTCATTTAGGAAAACGCAGAAATTGTGCCTTAGTCTAGGAATTTATTACACTACGAATTATGTCCAGGACTAATTCAAGAGAGTAGTGTGGAGCTCGAATGAACCGGGTTTCATTTAGGAGAATTGAATTACTTCGGACTGAACTTCTACATTACTTCTAAACTGAAATTGGACATTTATAGACATCTAAATAAGCTACATTGAAATTGGATGATTAAAGACCTTTAAATTACTCAAAATTTGGAATTGGACATTGCAAAAAGTAGATAGACCGCCATTTTGGGTGGCCATGTGGTCCTTTGTCCTCTGGCCATGTGTTTCTTTGTTTGTCTGTCTTTCTTTGTTCTGTGAGTCCTCTTCGTTTTCCTTTGTCAAAGTTTTCTTGGTTTAGAATTACCCTTCACCTTATGTTTTGATTCTGAAATGTGTTAACAAATGTGCTTCTTGTTTTTGAGAAAAATGCCACTTCCCTGCCAAAGCTTCAAAGCAACAAAATCCACCTATTTCCATTGTGGGACAGAAATCCCACCCCCACCTCCATCTCCATGCAGCCATCGACACCTACGAAACGACCCTCCACACAACCCCCCCCCCCGCACCGGAAGCTGCTGACGAATAATCACGGGCCGATTTGCAAGGATCAAAGCGCGCAGGCCCATGGAGGGCGCTGGCCGTTTGTTCAAGTTAAATGGACGTGAGAATTGAAGGTGACATCTTGGTACATTTGCGACTTGAAAGTTCAGCTTTGTGTCGCTGTTGGAGAACGGCTTGCTGCTAGTCTTGCGTCGGAAACGCAGACAGAGAAGAGTTTCGAAACAGGAACAGAGTGGACATTTCTGGTCATAACCAAACATGAGGAGGGGTCGAGAGGACGTGTCAAATGGACTGTCTATGGACTGTGAAAATGGACTTTGGGTTTTCGGGCTTTTGGGCGTGTGCGTGGTGTTGAATTTGATAACCAAAGTTAATACATTTAAAGTTAATACATTTCAGAGTTAATACATTGTTCAGTTTTGAGCCATGTTATGTCTCAACAGGGGGAATAGTTTATGGAACAACAATGTGAAATTATACTATGAACATTTTTTTCTTTTTCAGTTTGGATGTGTGTTTTTTCATTTTCAGTTCTCCATGTTCTCCATGTTTAAACATAGATTGTTTGATTTATCAAAAGGATAAAAAGGAGGGAATATGATATTGGAATGTAATTTAAGTTATCATTTTGGTAAATCATATGTGGCTATATGCTGAATGCGCTATTCTGTAATTCACTTCAGCTCCAGCAAAACTCCACGAGGTCTGGGGAGCTCATATGTTAAACACAGCATTCTTTGTTTACGCTAATACAGAGTGTCTTTTGTTGTGTGGGTTCTTCCTTTCCCATCTGCATACGAAGGTGTGTCTTGTTCAACCAAAAGGGGCTTGCCATTTGTGAATCATCAGACTTGTCCTGAGAGAGGCTGGGGTCTGTGCCCTTGCCTCTGTCAAGACATTCTCCTTGTACAATGTAACAAGTAAAAGATTAACTTTGTCTCTTTGTTGTGTGAGATTTCATCAGGTTCAACTGTAGTTGAAACAGCATTATCAAATGCCCTGCTTTCTGGTCTTCCCAAAAAGAACATTTCAGGTTTACAATTACTCCAAAACTCGGCCGCACGTGTCTTGACCGTAGACTGTATATCACGCCTATCTCCGCCGTTCATAGGAGTTGGCCATAAAAAGTGCTTTCATGGAGCAATCCAAGATGGCCGCGAGTGGTCCCGCCCACAAGAAAATTGTGAAAAAAAACGCATCTGTGCATGCGTCAGCCGGAGCAGCTCCATTCATTTGAACGAGAGACTTCAAAAATTCACCGCGAGTAAACTAGAGTGGACCAAAAAAATCACCCCCCTCAGCATTGGGCGGCACGGTGGCTGAGTGGATAGCACTCTCGCCTCTCAGCAAGAAGGTCCTGGGTTCGAATCCCGGCCGGACCAGGGCCTTTCTGAGTGGAGTTTGCATGTTCTCCCTGTGTCTGCGTAGGTTTCCTCCGGGTACTCCGGTTTCCCCTACCACTAAAAATATGTACAATAGTTCTAGCATGCGCCTCCTGTACTGGCGACCCCACTCCCATCTCTGTGTGGAGTGAGAGACAAATGCCCATAACTAACAATTGTAAACCGCTTTGTGACTCTGGTCTGTGAAAGGCGGTATATAAATAAAGCTTACTTACTTACATTGACACACATGTGGAACGGAGCTTTGGGCTAAGAGCCAACTTTTGGTCCATCCTGTAAAGATGTTTTTGAGAGGTCTGCCAATGCTATATGTTAGCATTGGCTAATTCTTCTTCTGGGTCCACCCCCATCGGCCCGGGGCAAGCATGTCAGCGCAGGTCATTTTGGCCACTTTTAAGCTGGGACCCGCCCCCACTGGTCCTGACTAAGACCAGGGGGCGGGACCACATTACACCGGTTTTAAAATCGCTGCATTGGCTCCCCGTGTGTTTCAGGATCGATTTTAAGGTTATTTTAATTGTCTTTAAATGTCTTAACGGTCTTGAGCCTTCTTATCTTTCAGAGCTGCTTTTATCCTATGAACCTTCCCGGCCCCTGCGCTCCTCCGGCAGCAGACTCCTAACCATCCCCAAAGTCAGGACACACACTCACGGCGAGGCATCTTTCCAGCACTACGGCCCCCGTCTCTGGAACAGTCTGCCGGAGGAGCTCAATGTTCTCCGCAGAGAACATTCATATTTTTAAGAGTCGGCTCAAGACGCACCTTTTTAGAGTAGCTTTTGATTAGTATTTATTATTTATTGTATCTACCCATTTACTATTGTTATTATCAATATTAGGCAGCTGCCATTTTTCTTTTTAGTGTCTCATTTTATTGTTCTACTTTCTATTATATTATTGTATTGTTTTAGTGTCCCCAGTGTTTCCTCTGGAGGAGCCCTCTGCACTGGGAGCTGGGGTCTGCTGTGGCTTCGGGGGTCTGGCTCTTGGATCCGGTGGGGGTCTGGGGCCCCTCTCTCCTCTGGGTCCTGTGGTGTTCCCTGTGGCTGCAGCCGGCTCTCTGCTCCTGGTGCAGATGGCTCCTTGGATGGCGCTTCTTCAGCCGGTTATATCTGCTCCCAGCCCCATTTCTTTTTATTGTTTTACCTATTGTACCTGATGTGACTTTATACTTGTATGTGTGGGTATGTGTATGTGTATGTGTGTGTGTGTGTGTGTGTGTGTGTGTGTGTGTGTGTGTGTGTGGGTGTGTGTGTGTGTGTGTGAGAGTGAGTGTGTGTGTGTGTGTGTGTGTGTGTGTGTGTGCGCATGTGGTTGTATATATAATTATAAATGTGGTTTTGGGGGGGTCTGTGGGGAGGAGAGTTTAGGGCTGGGCATGTTGGATTGTTTTTAACTAAACTGTAAAGCACTTTGTGTTACATTTTTTGTATGAAAAGCGCTTTATAAATAAAATGTGATTGATTGATACAGTGAGTTTGAAATGGGAATAGACTTCATTGTTTTAATATATATCAACACCAATTGTTCTTTCAAGGGGGAATGTTGTCAAGCAGGAAATCAGGTATGGATAGTATCAATGGTATAAAGAAGAAGTCCAGGATCAAACCCCCTCATAAGCATTATTGATATGCAAATCCTTTTAAGTCATCAGATATATGAAGACATCACAAAATAATGATCCATTTTGAAAGGTTTTTTGAAAGTTTTTTTTATTGGAAGAATGTCATAATGTGAGTGTTATCATTCTTGAAGGCTTACGCTGTATATGTCGTCATGGCAAACATTGCTCAATCAGGTCATGTGACATCATAAATAGATATTCATTGAGTAAAGCTGGAGTGAAGACAGAAAATGACTATCGAAAGTTTCTCTATAGAGTATGACGCCAACAACAAGGACAACGTGTTTTCAAGAGGAGACAGCATCAGGGGGAGGGTGGTCCTGGAGCTGCCCAAAGAGACCAAATTTCAGTTTCTTGTTATTAAGGCAAAGGGGAAAGCGTCTGTGAAGTGGACTGAACACTATGGACCGAGACTACACATAACCTACTATTCTAAAGAAAAGTACTTCTCCATTGAAAAACAACTCCTGGATGATGCGAGTGGTGAGAATACTATGCACTGAACCAATTTAGATTAAAAAAGATATGTAGAAATGTACATCTGTGTGCTTGTCTTGTAATGGGTGTGTAATTAAACTTCTCTGAATAGCCACATTGCAAAAACATGTTATTTGTTCTAGGTTCTAAATTGATACCGGCGGGGAGACATGTCTTCCCTTTTACTTTTGAAATTCCAATATTGTATGTACATGCACATTTCATATATACTCAAATCAATGTTTGTGTCTTAACATGCTTTATTATTATTTTTTTGCATATTATTTTAGGGAGTTACCGTCGTCTTTCAAGGGCAAACATGGGAAAATCATTTATCGCCTGGAAGCACGAGCGGGCAGATCAATGAGACTGGATCGCAAAGCCAGAGAAGAATTCTTTATTCTTTTCAATGAAGACCTGTCCACTCCTGATCTCATGGTACGTTTTCACCTGTGAAGCACAACTGACTTAGATCGTTTATTGTTGTATGGAGATTTTAAATTTATGTTAAAACTTCAGCAACTACCAGTTTGGTCAATAATTGTGAAGAACCTGTCTGCATTATGTCCTATAGAACTAAACCACTGAAATGGTATGCACTATTTTACCTTGCACAGACCTGGAGTGATAATTGAGGCTCCTAAAGCAACCTGGGGCACCCTTATAAGTATGCAAAGGTGCAAAATTAGTAATAATCAAGAGATACCATGACATGTTATTTAACCTTTTAAAGATAATCCTCTCAAGATCCATAATGGGAATAATACAAATACTTGGTCTATGAGTCTACAATAACATGCCTGCTTTACTTTTGGTCCAGTCTTGGTTCAGTCAAAGCTTATAATCGTAATAAAAGCAATGAATAGGTTAAAAATGCTGACAATGTAAACAATCAAAAATACATAAATATTTTGAATAATCTACTGCACAATGATGCTGATGCCTTGTGTTGGACAGAAACCTCAGTTCATCTGCAGTGAGAAGAAGTTGTTTTCATCTGGAAATGTAACTTTGAACGTGCAGACAAAACAAATGGGATACCTGCAAGGTATAGAACAAACAAAAGAGCCAAAAAACTTGGTAGAAATGGCCAACATTGTAAATAAGTATTTAAAATTAGAAAGTGATATTTGTGCATGTACTGCATGTAGAACTGATTTGACATTCATGTTTTTTTTTAAAGGAGATAAAATAGAAGTTCACACAGAAATCCTTAATAATTCGAACAAGCCAATCACACCCAAGTACGTCCTGTATGAGAAGCAGACTTTCTATACAAAACTGAAGAGGAAGGTTTACACTAAAGACATCATTAAGGAGAAAGGTCAGGCCGTTGGAGCGAGGAGCCAGCTGAACGACACCCGAGTGCTGTCCATCCCACACCTTCTGCCCCCCACGCTTCTCAGCTGCCCCATCCTCAAACTGGAGTACAAACTCAAGGTTACTCTTTACAAATGTGGAATAGCAGTTACATTACATTATGGACGATTTTCGACTTAGTGATTTATTTTTTACAGGACACTTCACAAATGAGACTTGTAACTTTGCCTAGTGACTATTATTATTTGCAGGGAATTTTGACATTACACCAATTCCATTTCCAGCAGATTGCATGAATTAGGGAGGCTTAAATAGGCTCTTTAGTGTTGTTAATAATTCTTTTAATATTAATTGTTTTTGCAGGTGGTGCTCGATGTGTCGTTAATCGGAAATGTGGAGGCAAAGCTGCCGATCATCGTGATGAGAGAATCCAAGATGCTGGAAGAGCAAAACCAGCACGAGAGTTTGTTTGGATAGTTGTTGTTCTGATGTAGGAGAGTCAAGACAGTGATGATTCGGGACATTTCAGACATTTATGTCTGAAATGACATAATATTTAGAGACATTTATTACCATTTATGGACATTGGTCAACACACTCCCGATGGTCAATGGCTTTTTTGTGTGTGTTATTATTGTGTTTTCTGTGTTTGAACTATTTGATTCTCTGACATACGTATTGTTGGTGAATTCAAGAGTCCTCCGAGATGACTATGTTGTGATTTAGGACTAAACATTGACATATTTCAATCAATGTATATTTCTTTAAAAGTGCACAACATTGACCTCTCCTGAACAAAAAGTCTTTGTAAATACAATAAAACATGGACAGTGATGGTTGCCAATGTCATACTCTCAAGTTTGGTCTCTCTTGTTTTCCTAGAGGAAAGTTTGTTTATACCTCATCGTTTGCCTCCTGTCTTCAACAATACAAGTTTTGGTCACTAGAAGTCACAACACCTATGACCTGTATTAATGCAATCTAAACTGCTTGATAAATGCACATCAGATTCTAGTAACAACTAAACAGTGGGATATAAAACACGTCTCACAAGATCTTAAAGGTATAGGAGGATTTTCTACTTCTGGGTGGATCATCAAGACTATTGGTCCTTGGACTATTGGACTATTGGACTATTAAATCCTACATATCTTTAAGACAGGGTGTTAATGAAGTTGGATGGGGAATTGTGGAAACCCCAACTTTTGTAAGAAATGTTACCAAATGTTGCCATTTCATAGACATGTTTCACGAAAGAAAAGAACGCCTGCTAGCATCAACAAAACATAAACGAGAAGTTTTAGGCAGAATAAGGAAGTAAACCGGAAATTCTACGGAAACTTTGTTTTTTTTGAGTTTGGATATTTGTTTAAACAAACTTAGTTCAGGTCTGCTTGGCTTGAACAAAAATTGGACCAGATGTTCACTATTAACTATTAAGGCACTTTTGCGTTTTAGTTCAATGTTTAGAATAGGCCCACACTGTTCCTGTGGAAAATAGCTCTAAGATTATGTATAATCATTCATGTATACAGCAAATTAACAGAGATGTTAGTTCCACAGTGGGGGAACCAGTACACAGAATGACAAAAATAAGGATCCTTGAGAATCCTTTCAGGGGTCACAAAAACATGTGTCCTGTTTTGTTTATTTCCAACAGTCCACACATAAGTTGATCAGCAGCTCCATGGTGTGGCCAAAGTTAGAAAAGCAAGTCTACCCCAGTCTGCCCAAAACTGAAGAAGAACCTGCATCCAAAGGTACAACAGTGCGAAATCCCTCCCTCCGTGTCCCACATCTGCAGCTCACCCGTCTGACCATGTTCCAACCAACATCCTGCACACACGACTTATGTATGCTATGTAAGGAGACTAAATTGAGTTTTTACTTTTATCCTGCACCATGATCAAGAGCACCCTATCATTCTTTTTAAACTTAAAATAAACATAATTGTTGAAATTGTTTGATTTTATATTTAGAGACAATAGCATGCTTTATTGCTATATAGAAATTTGGGTAAATGAGATAAATGAATATGAATGAAAGCATGACAGCAAATGGCCAGAAAGTTCTTTATTTACTTGTTTATGTAGAGGAAAAGCCTTCAGTTAAAATGTTCCATACATTAGCTACGTTTTTCACTCTCTATTTTTTAATTTAGGTCATTATTAATTTGAATTACTTTGTACTAATATTGTATTTTTAATTTTTTTAGAGAGAGAGAATTTTTTTCAGAGACAGCATTCTAATGAACATTTCTCTAAATATGCCAGAATTAGCGGCTATCTTTATAAGGCTATTTTTCAGCCGTGGTTCCATAATTACAATCCAACCTTTGATGTTGGAATCTTACTGCCTGTGACACATGTAGCTTCTAAATACTAGTTACTGATGCAATCCAACTGCTGGGATTTGGCTAGGAAAAAAAAGACCCAAAGAAAAAAAGATGGAGCCAAGACCAGCTTCATTGCACCTAACAACTGGCAGCCCAAAGGAGAGCCTCATTCTGCTCTCTGATTGGATTCCCATCTTAAAATGCATGAATATAAATATTGTGGACATAATGGTCATTCTATTTCTAATCAAGAATGACTCCAGTTCAAACAAACATGAAGATGTAATTTAACATGGAAATATTACTTATGGTCTCAATCAAGGAGCTACAGTATATGTAAAAATCTGGTCAAAAGTGGTACTGCAATCATGTTAAAGATTCTGTAGTCTGCACTATCCCATACTCAGGTTGCCAGATACGCAGCCGAATCCAGCTCGATCGACTTGGCTACTTCAAATAAAGATGTTTGCCGTGACGTCAGCACACATTCTGGGGGAAGGGGACAGCAAAAGTGTGAGGGCACCATGGATCTATAATAATATCTGGATAGGGTATTACTAGCTTACAGTGCCTTGCAAAAGTATTCACCCCCTTGGCTTTTTACCTATTTTGTTACATTACAGCCTTTAGTTCATTGTTTTTTTTAATCTGAATTTCATCAGAAAACAATAGTCTTGACATGCAATTCTTACATATATCTACTTTATAGTAATTTTAATGTATTTATTGTTGCCATCTAGAGTACTATCTACTTTCTGTTTACTTACACACTTCTACTCTTTACGTCATGACGTGAGACAACCACCAAGAACCACCCAAAGACAAACTTCCCATATTGCCCAATTTATCTCCCAGACTTACCTTGATTTAGAGCAATAAGTGTGTTGAGCCATTGCTTTTACATGTTCTGCTTTTCTTTTATTATACTGAGGACAATGACTCTCTGTCAGACACAGATAGGAAGTCACCTATCATTATAATACGGCTTTAATCATTCCATGTATTTATTAATACTTAAGTTTAAAATGTGAAAACTAGTAAAACATCGACCCTGGTAAATGGAACTATTGATATCATTACCTTACTTGAATACCACAAAATGTACATTGTTGAATAATTGACAGAAAATATGTTTATTGTGGAACACTTATTAACAAACAACAGTATACTAATAATATTACATAATATTGTAGAAATGTTTTGTATGACAATGACAATAAACAAAATATTCAAATTTGTTATCTGACCTTAGAAGCATGGCTAACCACTTCAAATCTGGCTGTATTATATCATGCTGCCATCTGCAAAGAAATCTGTAGAAACGCAACTTTTAAAAGTAAGAAGTAAAAGTAAAAAGTGGTCTTACTTACTTTACTTATGTTCATAAATGCTACAAGTCAGAGCGATTCAACATCATTTCCCAAAAGGCAAGATTTTTCAGAAGACTTCAATGCATTTTGGTTTCACGTACAATATTGTTAAATCAATTTCAGTGTTTTAATTTATTTTTAGAAATCAAAACAAACAAACATTACATTCCTCAGCAAAAATGCCAAACTAGACATGAGGCAAGACACTTCACCCACCTAGCCAAGAATGAGTCTGGTGTGTATGTTGGTGGTGGGAGGGGCCGATGGCACATACTGGTCGCCTCTCTTCTGTTAGTGTGCCCCAGGGCAGCTGTAGATACATGAGTAGTTTATCAATTCCGTGTATGGAGTTATTGATTAATGACATGTGAACTATCTTTGTGCGTCCAAAAAAGCTCTATATGAAAGCGATGCATTATTATTATCTATTGTGAAAACCAACACGGAACCAGGATTAATTAAACGATTATAACATCAGAGCGAAGTAATCACAGAAAGGTTCACATTACATACATTACAATACATATTATATGAAGATATGGCGTGATGGGTGAATAAAACTAAGGATCTGAAATACATGTAACCCTTTTTCCTGTTTTTAATGATATAGTCTAAAAAGTCACTATTTTCCATCTTGAAAGTTTAGGCCCTATTTGAATGACAAAACAGGTGTACTGGCAACATTGCAATAATATGTTTCTTATCAGCTTCTTGTTAGCCATGCTCCGGAAGCTGTAAAAGCAGACGTCACAGCCATTCAACATGCATAAATAGAGAAGCCCTCACAGTTTTTGTCCACGGAACAACTTCAGGACAAAATGAGCATCAAAAGCCTCACAGTCGAATATGAGCCGTCAAAGGAGAGGAGCGGCTTCACCAGAGGAGAAACTCTGACGGGAACAGTGGTGCTGGAGTTGGCTAAAGACACTAAAATTGAGTGTCTTTCAGTGAGGGCCAAAGGGAAAGCTTCTGTGTTTTGGTCAGAAAATTATATCTACACTGTTGTTTTGTATAAGGCCAAGGAGCACTTTTTTTCTATTTCCAAAACCCTGCTGGATCAATCAAGACCTGGCAAGTTGTCGTTTGTCATCATGCGTGTACACCTTTCTTGTCCTGTCATTTGTAATGCTTTTTTCTGTCTCTCCACAGAGTCTAAGGTGCTCACAGCAGGGAGGCACGAATTCCCTTTCGATTTCGATATTCCTGACATGTACGTAAATCAATGTGGTTCTATCTAAATCGGTTTGAGCTGTCCGTCTGATGGCTGATCTGCTTTTGTAGTGACTTGCCAAGAGACTGGGTGGGACGCCATGGACAAATCAGCTATTCACTGGCAGCCAGAGCAAGCCGATTCATGAGATTGGACCGGAAAGCCAGAGCAACCTTCACCGTTGAGTCAAAAGACAACTATTCCGACATCGATATAATGGTAATTTATCACATGCATACAGCAGCCGTAATTAACAGCATCATGTAAAGTATAAAGGATATATACTTCTCTATTTCAAGGGTAAACAAGTTTTCCCTATTTGAGTAATTACACAATTTTAAAACAACTTTTATATTATGTTCCAAGGTATTTTCACCAATTCTACTTTATTCTACTTATATTCATTTGCCCCAGTTCTGTTACAACTGCTTGAGGCTTTATATTTTTAATCACAACTTTACATTTGGTCTTGTCGTCTACAGAAACCTCAACAAGGACAGGATGAAAGAAAGGGAATGTTTTCATCTGGTTTAATGGCTTTGACAGTTAGTACTAAAAAGACAGGTTATCAACCAGGTAAACAAAATATACAATAATAACACAATAAATGTTCTCAACAAAAGTCTTAATGCAGTCATTGTTTCACAGAGGAAGGGCTGGAAATCACAGTTCAAATCCACAACAACTCAAAAGACACAAAAGCAACTCCCAAATATATGTTGTACGAGAAGCAGTCGTTCTTGTGTAAGAAGAAGAGGAAGGTCCACACTAAGTATATTGCGGAGGGGAAGGGAGAGGTGGTGCCAGCTGGAGAACAAGTGGCCCAGACTCATGTACTACAAATACCCTGGCTCGCCAAACCAACTTTACTCAACTGTGACATGGTCAAGCAAGAGTATAGACTGGAGGTATTGTTTTAGTCACTTTTTATCTTGTATATATACTCAATATGAACGTAAAATGGGTTGGACTATAACTGTGGGTCTTGTGTCTGCAGGTCCGCCTCGATGGTCCCATGTATTCTCCCGTGGTCAAGTTGCCAATCTTTGTGCTGCCAAGAAAGAAAAACTCAGATTGATTGTGATTGTGAATTCAAAGACATAGTTTTGTACTTTGAGTATTATATAGTTTATAATATACTGCTGTGTGACAATGTAGAACATGGACAATTCATTCATTGCATAGACTTGTGTTATTTGTCTGAAAATAAATTATATTTTTTATATATTACCATGACATGCTTTTGATTTATAGCTCTATGCACTTGTCTTAGATAATCTTACCAACAATATATATTTACATTTGCACATTTACTTTGGTAATTAATTGAAAATGTGACAATAAACAATAAAAACAAATACACTTCGTACACCACTGACACAATAACCTTAAAGAAGAGATATTATGCATTACGATAATGGGATTATTTACTGTTCTAGAAAGTGAAAGAACATCTACAGTAACTAATATAGTGAAACAAGTAACTTGGGCAAATAACGCTTTTTCATATTTACATCAAATTACATCCATGTGATTAGAAATAATGTTATTTCACCTGAGAAACTACCAGAACTACTTTGTGGGCAATACTTTTGTTTGAAAAGGCAGAAAACTGTGAGACAGGAACATTTATACAGAATCGCGAGTTACATCTTTGTGCCATAAAGTAAATCTCATAAATTCTAAATCAGTTCTCAAGTGAAATGAAGACTATGTTTACCATAAAAATATAAATTCTACCCTTTCCTCTATTGGTAACATAGGAATTCAAAAAATATCAATGAAACCCTAAAATGTAACACTAGTCGTCTCAGTGGGCTTTACAAAGTTATTGATTCACTAACAACAGATTAGAGAATCAAACAGTTCGAACACAGGAAATGCAACAATAGCAAATACAAAGGCAGCATTGGTCGATAGGGAGGGGGTGACCAATGTCCTTAAATGGGCTTGAAGGATCATCACTGTCCTTCGAGCCCTCTGCATCGGCAAGGAGCTACTCAAAACAAACAAAAAACCCAGTGGGAGAAAAGTGAGAAACCTCGGTGAGACCCATTGAGAAAGGGATCCGCTCCTATGGACTGATGGGATATAGATCCAGGACACTAGCTGTGGAACACGGACTGAGGCAGTGCTGTGCAGTACAGGATGGGGCAGGCAGACAGCATTGTTTACCCTTTGTACTTACTTTGCCAATATTTTCTGCTTAGGACATAATTTCACATTCTACAACATGAAATGACATGAAAACATGATAGTTGAAAGTAAAGGGTATCATTAACATAAAAAATAAATTCAGTATAATTCTTTCAATTCAATTTAATTCAATTAGAAACAGTCGTCTCTATCCTGATTGTTACGAGTCCCATCAGTTCATTTGTGAAAAAGACACTGGGACAACGGGTGAATAGCAATCAAACTGGCAGGAAAGAAAGGTTCTATTTATTTAGTAGCCCATGGAGAGTGCATCAAGCAGACATTTAAAGTGCATTCACAACAACTGTATGTGATTCTATGAAGCATAATAAGAGTTCTTCATTAAATGACATTGTGAGACAATGCCGTAGATTGGATCATGAAATCTAACCCTCAGGGTCAGATGGCTCCTGTGAAACAGACACTAGTCGGTCACATGTCCGCAGACTGCTTCCTCATTCCCCATCCCAGTGTTGGCATCGATAGAGCAGAGACAGAATAAGGTGATGACAGTGAAGCACTTCCACCTGGAGTACAACAAACCGAAGGGACAGGACGCCTACTCTCCGGGAGACGTCCTGACTGGACGGGTCATTGTGGTCACTACAAAGGAGACCAAAGTGCAGTGTTTCTATGTGCGAGCCAAAGGCAAAGCCAAAGTGACTTGGTGTGAGGGAGCTGGACGTAAGACTGTGGTGGAACAAAACAAGAGGAAATATTTCTACTTTGAACACATCATTCTTCAGGACAAGAACAAGGGGGATGGTTTGTAAAAATATGCTGTTTAAAAAAGTTCAAATAGTAATTTCAACTGTATGTGTATTTAGGTTCGGAAATTATTGGAGCTGGAAGAAATGTATTTCCTTTTACATTTAACATTCCAACCAAGCAAGTATCTTTTGTTAAAATATGTTATCAACAAAACAGCAACATGTTAAGTTGACTTATGATCTGATTATAATTGCAGAGACATGCCGTCATCCTATCAGGGAAAATGGGGCAGAATTACATACAGTTTGCGGGCCCAGATAACACAGTCTATATGGATTGTACACAAAACCAAGATAGAGTTTCCATTTCGGACTAAAGCAGAGTACCCTTTTGCATCTAAAACTGAGACGATCTTAATTGGGCTTAAGGTACGTGTCTACATGTGACTTGAATGTAGCTATGGCTGAATTTGACATTTGTTTTCTTCTGTTTTCTTCGCTCAAAGGAACAACAACAAGCAACATGGATTTCATTTTGTGGTGTTGGAAAAGTTACAATGAATGTTACCTCAGAGAGAATGGGTATCAAGCAAGGTATTACACACACAGCAGTACATTATGATTACTATTACTATTATGCCTATGTCAGAGTTTTGGTACTCATTACGCTAAAGATGGAGATTTTATACTTTCTTCTTCATGCTAGTAAGAGATTGTATACTATCTTCTTCATGCTAGAGTTAGAGATTTTTATTTGATTTGATTTAGTAGAGTTATTGTTCATTTATCTTGTGCTGTGTGCTCCTTAATCCTACCGTTCTGTTACTGCTGATGCAACACTGAAATTTCCCCGCTAACAAAAGATCTCTTAATCTTTAATCTATGAATTTAAGTCACCATACTGTATTTAACACAGGTGAAGCCATGGGGGTGTCAGTGGAGGTTATCAATGACTCCTCAAGAACTGTTACTCCCACGTTGTACCTGTGTCAGAAGCAAACTTTTGTAGCACATTCCAAGCACATGGTGTATGCTGACAATACTCTGGTTGGGATGGGAGACACGGTGTCCCCTCAGAGCAGCCATACTGTGACCAAGGTCCTGAGCATCCCGCCTCTTCTGCCTCCCACCTTCTTCAACTGCTCCATGATGAAGCTGGAGTACAGGCTAAAGGTGCGCACACATGCACAAACGCACACACACACGCAGATCTGCGTATGCCCACACACACAAACACACACATACAATATACAACTAGAGTAATCTAATTGTGACCAACAAAATGCAAGTAAATATAGCTGTACATCTTCTATAAAAGCCTACAATTTTAATGACAAAAAAACTGTATAATTAACATTTATATGATTTTCTCCAGGTGACTCTTGATGCAACGCAGGAGCGAAACTTTGAGATCAAACTTCCTCTGATAATTCTTTTGGGTTCCCCAAAACAACCGCAGCAGAAACCAAAACGGTCCATTTGGTTCAGAAAACTAATTGGTTATTGAAAAGGACAGCACTGGACTAATACGGGTAATGAAAAAGTTTAAATGCTCAATTAGGGTATACCTGAAGTATTAAAATGGTATTCGATAAAGACATTGAAATACAAAGCCAACTCATAAAACACATTTTAGATGATGGAAGATGGAAATAGTAAAATGTTCATCTGTAAATTAAACTGTGGGTGGCTCGATGGTGTTCCTCAGCTACAGAAACTGCCTGGTAACCAGCTTCTCCCACTGTGCTGCGGCTTCATTTGCCTGAATTTGGAGACAGGGTAAGGGGGCGTGGCCTTTGGTAACTTTGTAGTGGGGCTGCCATGACAACATGGAGGCCTGCTGGCGACTCCTCGTCTTCATCTGCTGCGGTTTCTATGGATACGCCCCATGGGAGCTCCCGGGACCAGCGGGATGGGGTCCAGACTTACCCTCTCCGACTGGGAATGTGGGTTGGTGTGTGCGTGTGAGAGCTCAGAACAGTCTAGAGAAGACACTGGCTCGTCCAGAACTGCTCAGAACAACGCACTATCGCTTGTTTGTCATTGTGATTTTACATGAAAAAAATACACATGTTTAGAATCATGCTGGTGGGTAACAAGTACTTTCTGGGGTTTGGGAGTAAGATGGCGAGATGGCTGTGTGGAGTGTGGTTGGGGAAAGACATGGCACCATTGCTCCAATGGCCACTCAGGACTCAAGGGATTTGCTCTTCTATAATTGCTTTAAGCTGCCTCCTCACAGAGTGAAGATTCACCTCCTGAAATGTGTGCTCTATTGAAAAAAAATATAATGTCTGCAATAATATATACTTATAGTTCGTTTATTTAAGAAAAGGGGAGGAATAAAGTTTTCATAGTAAACATTTCCAATGTAAGTGCTGAAGTTTATCTTCATAAAAATGCTTAGGATATATATTTATATACATATACAAAAAATTACAAGGCAGTTCTGTCCAAATGGAAGGCAATAGCTATGTCAGAACATTCTATCTGATTACAACTCTACAGTTCATTTCCTATTTTACGTGCAATAATTCTTCAAAACTAAAGCTAGCTCAATGAAAGTGTAACTATTGTGCATTTGAATTGATGACCTTTGAAATTATATATTTTGTATAAAACCAGCTGACAAAGGCTTCTAACAGAAACAATATCCTATAAAAATGTGTAATCAGCCAGATGTTATTTGTGAAACTCAGAGAAGCAGCCGCCTCTGCATAGGTGGACATTGCATATCTTACAGCCGAACACACTTTCATGCCTCAGTCCCTTGTTGGTGCAGTTTCTACAGCGGCGAGAGCGCTCTGACATGCGCTCCAGCCTGTGTCCGTACTCGATGGGGGAGTCTGCATGCCTCTTGCGTGCTGCTCGCTCCATGCCCCGAGCCCCCTGATAGTCTCCAATCAGCTGCTGGGCCAGACGGACCCGGAAGTGGCGCTGTGTGAACTGTTTTCCATTGAAGCCCGTGGGCGGTGTGCCCCCTCGGCTCTCCCTCTGGATGATGTAGGCATCGACGATACAGAGGTTGATGTAGAACCACAGGAAATATCGCCACCACTTTTTGCAAGGCCGGCCTACTAGATAGCACTCTCTCAGCTGATCACACAGATCCACGCCTCTCATGTTTTCTTGATATAGAAGAACGGGTAACGGTCGAGGCAAGCCAAACCCAGAGCTGTCTCCGCTGTCACTGTCACCTCCCCCCTCTGTGTCACTCTGTTGTTTTCCTGGGCTGATGCCCACTATGCCAGGAGCAGAGTTGGTAGACAAACAGTTAATCACTTTAACATCACGCGTTACTGTAGCAACCAGGTTCCCCCTCTGGCATTGGTAAAACTCACCCTGGGACAGTTTTCCAACATTGCGTGGTCTTAGGACCTCAGGGTACCCTTTGCGAGCAGGATGAGTGGGCCCACAGGCGTACAGTCCATCCTGTAGCAGCCTCTGGAGCAGTGGCACTGAGGTGAAGAAGCTGTCCATAAAGAGGTGGTGGTACTGACCCTCCAGGCCACGCACTAAGGAAGTCACCACCCTGTACCCAAGGCACGCTGCTGTCTCATCATCCCTTGGTTTTCCTACTGAAATCTTGGTCCGATGGCAGTACCCTGATCTAGAGTCACACAGCATCCACACATTCAGCCCCTTCTTTAGAGGCTTAGAGGGCATGTACTGTGCAGGGGAGAATCGTCCCTTTACCACAATGGCACACTTGTCCACTGTTAAACAACGGTTGGGAATATATGCATCCCACATTGTGTTCTCCAGCATGTCCAACAGAGGCCTGATCTTAAAGAGGCCATCATAACCACGCTCCCCCCGCTCGGGCTCAGACTCCCTCTCACACAGCTGTAGGTATTGTGTGAGCTTCTCAAAACGCCTGGCTGTCATAGTTTTCTTAAAGCCTGCATTCCCAATGAAAATATCACTGGCCCAGTACATGCCAGTGTCTGGAAGCTGGTTGATACCCATCAGAATGTTTAAGCCTACATAAGCTTGCATCTCTCTCACATCTGTGGGGTGCCAGTGGGGGTCTGTCTTCCCACTCCTCCTTTGCCGATAGAGGGCGTAACTGTTTGTTTGTTCTACCATGTGTTCAAAAAGAGAATCTGGGAAGAGTATCCGGAAATAGTCACGGCTGTCAGCATCGTCCCCCAGTGAGTGCTGTGGGCCGCTGGGAGCAGAGAAAGGTTCAATAGAGATCACCTGGTCTGGTTCTCCCCAGAAGTCAGCCACGGAGCAGTCCACCTCCAACTCGTCTTCCAGGCTGCAAAAACTTCTGCGCTCCTGCTCCTCCTCCAAATCAGAGAAATCAATATCCGAGTCGTTGGAGGTGTTATCTGAGCAGTTAGTAGAGGTAGAGTAGAAAGAATCCTCGACATAATCGTCCTCTTCATGTGTCAGCCCGTTACTTGCCGTCACTACCAGGATGTTGCAGGCGAGTCCGCTGCTCACGCCGGCCGCGTCCTGGTCCACCGTGGCGTCGAAGCCATTCTCCCCCTCGCCTTCTTCTTCCTCCTCTGCCTCGCACGCATCGTCTTCCTCCGAGTCCGGCTTCTTGTACGGAATCTCAAACCACTTCACATCGGCTGACAGATTAAGCGGAGAGTCCTGACTAACGCACAGAGAGTTACTTTCTGCGTCCGCGCTAGTTTCCAAAATAGTAAAAAGCTCTCTCCCGTTTCTTGCCGTCGCCATGTCGGGGTATTAAAGTGCCCATGCATGAGTCCTTTTATGTTGATATTTCCATCGTTTAACCTCCGAAATGAGCTGATGTGCACGTAAGGCTCCCTCCTCTACGATAAAATAGCCAGATCCGTGGCTAAGCGCCGTCTATAAGCCTGATTCTCATTGTTTCCGCTGCTGGCTTTTCTGGGCTTTGTAGCGCAGTGTGGCCGCAGACGTCAGAAGCTGCATGCATGTCCTGCTTTATAGGGCGTTTTGCGACTGCAGCTGGTGGGGTTGCTAGTTCGCTAGACTGGCAGATGGCCGCTTGCTGTTGTAATGCCCGCTGGCCACTATCAATAAGCCGAATGCCCATCTCTGAGGCCTCACAAACACATTTCAACAAAAATAAATGTTAACTCTTGTTATGCATTATAATCTTGCCGTCTTTAGATTGATATGGCAAGGCATTTTGACATGCAATAAGTCATCACTGTAATTATACATTTATATGCATCATGACATACTAAAAAACACTTCACTGTTCTCTCCTGTGCTGCACACTACTCTGAACTCAAAAGAGCAGTGTGTCCATTCATAAACATGCTCTTCCCCCCTGACAGGTTCCACATGAATCTGAAGCCCTATAGGCCATTGTAGAATTGGGACCTCCCTCTATTTTATGAATGTTGCCAGATACACACTGATTCACTAATGACAGAGTGAGAACTGAATGCCTCACTTACAGCCATGCCCTATTGAGTTGCTCCATCCCAATGAATTTACAAAGGGATGTAATAGAAATGCATTACCACGTTTAGGCTGTTCACAATAGACAAAATAAAGTAGGACGAAGTAGAACATGATACAAGTAACACATACGTTTGAATAGCCATTATATCAACAATATATGATATATATCCCAGTGTCCAATTATCAAAAGAACCCAAATCCAAACACGGAACAAAACACTGATCCATGTGGGCATAGAGTACCCAACAAGTCGGGCACTGGACAGCTCTCCCATTTGCTACTAAATTACTAAACAAAATTCCAAGACTGTGGGGCTGTCCCACTCTGGACTCTTTTAAACATAAACTATGGGACGTTGAGGAAAGGCAGATCTTTGATATAATGTTTTAAATACCCAGCCGTCAGAGTCTTCGGGCACAACGTTTTTAAACACAAAGTTGTAAAAAAAAAATATATATATATATATATATATTTGATACCAATGATGACACTACTGAAATATCCCCACTGCGGGGATAAAGGAACATCTTATATATATATAGATGATTTATCGCATCTATATTTTGGCATATCTGGCGTTATCTGTCAGGCACCCTGTCAAACGTATAGTCAAGTTTAGAATACAATATGTCTAATTTCCAAATGGTGTTTGATAAAAGAATCTTCTAAAGTAATTTGTAAACAGCATAGAACTATATGAATGGATCAATGTTTTTGCAACCTAGAGTAATCATAATTTATCATCATTGCTATCATCTTCATTAGATTCAAATCAATGAATACATCCAACAATAACATGCATAATTAAACATAACACTGAGCCTAAGTATAACGATAGGCCTACAGTTTAGGATTATGACAGAACTTCACCATTATCAGTAACCTCATTTTTATAAAGTCTATTTGTAATGTTTGTTAGCAAATGCACCATTGAGCTATAACTGCTATCCCCAAAGCACAAAGTGACCCATATCACATCTAAATGCCTGGACGTGTTCAAATGTGATTTCCACTTTCTCTTGAGACCATTTACAGTATCTTTCTTTTAGGTGGCTGCAGCTGGAGCGTGGGACAAGCTGTGTTTCTGCCCAGGGCCCTGCAAAAAGAGGAGAACTAATGCTTGGTGCAGATTCTACTTGTCTCATTCAGTGGAGCATCATGTTTCTCTATACGGGTTGCATTGATTCTCGTAAGACCCAGGATGCAGCAAACTGTGGAAAACAGTAGAGGCGGTTACTGATAGGAAGCCCAAAAATAGCTCTCCAGAAAAAGGGGGCCATTCCTGTATTTTCAGGCTCCTGAAGCAGAGCACTGCAGCAGACCCCTCAGAGACTCAGAAAGGCAGTGGGGTGGAGAAATGCTGGCCAATGGCGGCTCTCAGCTCCTTCCTGCTCTCTGCGTCTCTCGCGGTTGACTCCAGAGATGTGGCTGGGTGTGTGTGTGTGTGTGTGTGTGTGTGTGCGTGGTGTGTGTGTGTGCGCGTGGTGTGTGTGTGTGCGTGGGTATAGCTCAGTGGAAGTGTGCTGGGCCATGTGTGTAAGTGGTGCACTCGGCTAAAAAAGAGTTAACTTCTCTCTCTGAATTATGAAGTTCGCCACCATATGCCAATGTGACAATTCTATCGGTGCATTTGAAAGCCATCAATATCTTTTTGAGTATTGTGAGGCACTTTCTGATTGTGGTTTGTGAACAGTTTTACCAAATCTGTGATGTATGTATCATTTTAAGGGACTTAAAAACAAAATGTATTCAGATCATTTGAGCCACTTCAGATTCAGAGTATCTCTAATATACATAATTATTCAAACATGTTCCTAAAATAATAATAATAATGTTTGATTTGTCCTATGTATCATTAAAATTGCTGATCTTCACACAATATTGTATCTTTTGGGAATGGTTAGTTCTACAGAGCCCTCTTGTGGTTTTGAGGAGGAGCTGTCATTCAAGGAAATTGCTAATTGGTATTAAGCCGGTGCAACTCTGTATTACTATTATTGTTACATTCATATTGAGTTATACTCCCCACCTCTGCATGCTTTAACGCATTAGACTTTGTTTAGTAGAGTAACTTTGGCTCATGCAGTATTTGAAATCACAGACCACTAGGAGGTGTCTGTGCCCACAATACCAAGAGTAAGATTCTTTTAGATGTTTACTTTTTATTTATTCAGGCTGTATGTGTTTCTCAGCTTTGCCTGTCCCAGCTCTGTTGGACTGTGAGTGTGAGGCCATGTGTTGCTCATTACGTCTTCGGCCTGGGACGAGTTGGACTGACTTTGAGGTCTTGCAGCTCTTGGCCTTCTCACAGCAGGGTCCAAGTTGACCAACGTGTCTCTGACACGCTTACCAAAACATTCACAACATACTTCTCTGGTTTTTTAATGTGTGAACTGTATCCCAATGTTTTAGGGATGTTGATTACATAGTGTCTGATCTGATTATAGCCCTTGGTCTTCACATTAGAATAGACATTAAAGACGGAATTCTTGAGCAGCCAAAAAAAAAAATATATAATTACAATTACAAAATATATATATACAATGCAATATAATATACAGTATATATATATATATAAACTTAATATAATGTGAAGAAAATAAATACCCCCTCCAAATGATGCATGCACATCATTTGGAGCAAGGCCAAAATGACCGCAAAGTAAATGTAGTAGTTTCTCAACTGGAAACTTGACAGTTTGACGGATAAATTACATCAGTTTTTGCGTGAAATAAATCCTCCCATCTGTTTATAACTGCGTCACATGTTGTGAAATGTCTTATTGACTCTGTACGGCTCTTTTGTAGAGTGTGTTTTTGGGGAATCCTTTACTACTTAACCTTTGCTGTTATGGTTGTCATGAAACACACCATGGGCAGATCTCCACAATGACGCATATACACACCACAAAATACAACATATTTGGGAATAATGTTTTGTCTGCTCCATTCACAGAATGGCCTCTTCAGTTTTCAAAGCATCATAAACAAACAATTGTTTTTGAAAAGTCTCAGTAAACATATGTGAATGATTTCCCAAAGCCTTTGTTCAACAGAGTGGGACGTGAGAAAAGGAAATATAATAATAAGTCTTTTGTGCAGTGGACTGCGATGCAATTCATAGATCATTATCCGCTCAACTTTTATGCACGGCTGTGACTTTATTAGCGACAGTAAATCAGCTGTTTGCGTCGTCTCTCTGCTGTTACAAGAAATGTTTATATGTTGCCTAATCAGAACCAAACGGACACCATGGGAACAAACACATTAGTGGTTTAAGTCAACGTGCACTCTACTATCACACTCAATCTTCTCCACATAGTCCCATACACTTCACTATTTGTTTTTCCAAATGTATTGTTTATTTTAAATTGTTCATTTATTAACATTAGAACTCATTGCACAAAAGTTGGGATGGTAAACGAAGTGGAAAGTGTTAACACAGATATAAGTCAAAGTGATAAAAAAATAACATCCTCTTTCCAATGTTTAACTTGAAACCATTTCCTGAACCCTCTGTAAACTGCTCGTGATCATTTTCACTTAGAGTTGTTTAAAAGTCCAGGGTCAGATGGGTGTGACAGCATTACAAAATGTCAACATGGTGCCCATCATGTCACTGCTTGACAATCATTACAAATGCAAGATCATGATACCATATAAGGAAACAACAAACCACAATATACAAATCATGTTTGATTTTATTTTAGAATGAATGGGGCGACAGTGGCTTCAGTCACTGAAGTCTGCTGTTGTTGTGTCCCTGGGCAAGACACTTAACCCCACTTTGCATGAAGCCCCCCTGCTGAAAGACCAAGGTCATGTCTTCATTGAAGATAATGTACACTACTTATTTGTAACTTTTCATATCACCCACATACGCCTTTCTCTGCATTATTTATTCACCTCATACTCCGTATTGTAGCTACAGCTGCCATGGGTCAGACTGGCAGGAGTATGGCAACTAATCTGTGCTGATCATTCCTACAACAATCATTTACGCACACATCAGACTCATACAAGGCATTTACAGCCATAGCTGCCCCTCTGTGGCACTGGAGTTCCCAGCGGTCTCCCATCACAGTACTAACCATGCCTGGCCCTTCCCAGGCTTTTGTAGGTGGCGCCATAAATGATGGATTGTTTTAATACTCAACACAACAGCTGGGATGTCTGACTTTCAAACAACACAAATTGAGCTCTATTAAAATCCATCTTATTAGTTCCATAATTGCTGTCAAAACAGTTTGGTTCTATCACTAGTTTTCATATGTATATCCGGACAAGCCTCACTCGGCCAATCAACTCTCAGCACAAAAAGTCAAATAGTTACTCACATGGCTCTATATGCAAAGGACATTTTCTAATAAGGTGAAGACAGCAGATTGTGATCTGATATGTTGACATTTTTATTTTTACTTTCTGATCATACAAACTACATGTATTATCTGTAAAACAAAAAATGTTAGCCCAGCTTTAAATTACTTTATTTTTTATTTTATCCATATCCTTTTAAGGTGCTTGCCTAGACAAAACAAGAACAAAAACAGATATGTATGATAAACATGTATATTGTCATTGTCATACATTTATCACTACTTACACTCCCCACAAAAAGTTACAAAATGAACTTTTAATTAATTCAATCCAGAAATTATGGCATGTATCCATATGTAAGTTCAGGCTGATGATGTTGAATATGTTGATGGTGCTGTTGCTATGTGTCCACAGCTGTGCAGGGAAGCAGTACATGAGCCATCCTCTCCCTGTCTGTGTCTGAGTCACGTCTGAGGCCTGGACAGAGGAGCCATTGTGGCGCACTCCTCTCCCACAACTGAAAAACATGTCTCATTGGAGAAAAATATTTATTCAACACATGGTAGATTAACCCAGGCATAACAGGGCTGGTCTAATTGAGAATCAAAAATTCAAATCAAGGCTTTGGGTTCTGTATAGTGCAGGAGCTGCATACAGATTTTTGTATTTTCAATTTTGGAAGTACACCCTGACCCTACTGAAATTTCAATGTGACTAATATGGATAAATAAAGATCCGTAAATTACAGCTAATGTGTAAAATAATAATTATTATGTACTATTGGTTTCAAAAGCCATGATTCTAGCAGAACATTTAAAATAAAATAACACATTTTAAAATTACACCAAAAGGCTGCTTCATATTGACTTTACAACTATACAGTATTTTGAACACATCCTCTCATGTTCTTATAAAGAGAGGATGTGGTCTGAAGGGACAGTGGCCTTCTGTCTGGGAGGAGTGACTTTGGACCATGTCCAGGCTGTAGTGTGGTCAGAGCCTGGACCTCTGCTCAGAGGACACATGCCTCTGATCATGTGTCCTCTGCTTGGTCATCTTGATCAGGGAGATTATATGATGGCACCCATAAGAGAAAGCAACTTTCCGTCTGTTTCTATCAGTCTTTTTTAAGTTGTCAGTGTAGTTCAAAGTGCCTCTCCAGATACACACAAGGGCTTTTGCAGGCCACTCAGCAAAAGAAGCTTCAAACTAAGGCCTTTGAAGAGCTCAAAATAACCCGAAGAATCCCCATCTGACCATAGAAGGACGCAAATGAAGTGAAAAAGTACTGAAATGGTTTTTGAGACATGTAATACAGATTGTCACACATGTTTTTTGACGCTGAAATAACACAGGTGAGATTTCCCTAAATGTATGAAATTTTCAACCGATACCATGTCATACCTTTTGGTTTTTAACTACATAGACCAAACAAGATGCTGAATGTATGATAAACATATTTACCAACTGAGCTGTTCAAAAATACTTTTCCTAAAACATAATAGACATTTTAATTCCCCATTATCTGCAACTTTTTCTTGAACGACTCCCAAGAGGTCACTACAGTATCTGTGCTCCCCAAGATAGTCAGAGGTCTGAGAGCTTCCTGCTCTTCTGAGTCTCCTGCGTCACTGGCCACTGATAACTATTAGTTCAGCTGCAGACTTCACTTGAGGCTTAATCTCATCTCAGATGCACAATTCCAGAAATTTGTTCCCGAACAAGTGACTCAAAGTGATCACATTGAATTGTAAAATATAAACAAGTCTTTGCTTTATAAAAAGGTACCCAACGTGAAAGGGTACCTGTTAAAGGGTACTTGTTTTTGATACAAGGGGACTGATTAAAATACAGCATACATGTGATAAGCATGTATGAGTGTGAGGTTACATTAGGGGTTGTCTACATCATCCAATAAAAAAAAAATGGTGAGAAATTGACTTTCAATGTAAGGGGGAGTGATATTTTAGTTGTTCCCACCATAAACATGTTTCCCCTGACAATCATGTAGGGGCGCACAGAATTAAGCAGAAAAATCATTAAAATGTTTCATAAATTAATGGAGCTAAAAAAAAAGCATTGGTGTTAAGGTGGTACAAATATTTTTAATGACTTTGTAATGAAATTCAAATTAAACATTGGTATGTCTCTGAAACGTTCTGACAAATAGATCTTGTTCCCCATATCTTTTTTACACGGTGAATAACAATAGCCTGAAAAGCAGCAGGCAACTAATTAATTGGCCCTTAGTTCAGATGCTCTTGATGCTTTGCGTTCAACAACGCTGAAGTCTGGTTACTGCACACTGGCACTGTGAGCCATCTCTTCTCTTCTCTTCTGCCAACAGGCCAACACACTGGACATGCTTGGTGGAGGACTGATGACAGGGTTCCATTTGTAATTTTAATCACAGCATGGAAAGTTCTTGTGTGTGACTGACATCCAGAGGTTTGGTGCTTTCCATTGATTCCCAACAGATTTCCACAATGGATAGGTCTTCTTTTATTATTGCAAAAACAATATGCTAAAAGCCATAATGACACAACAGCAGGCCACCCAAGGACTTTTTCGCTCCCCTACAGAGAAAAACAAACAGATGTAACATGATTTTAAATGGTCCAAAACATAAAAATAATAATAATAAAAACCCAATATGATTCATACCTATCCTGGCACATTTCCAGAAAATACCTAGGAGTCTTCAGGAGGAAAAAAAACAAAACAAGTTGTATTTAATCTTAATTGAATGCAAATGTTTTGATACATTTTGTGATAACAAGCACACACCCAGTCTTGTTTTTATCAATAATGCTGGGGGCCAGAGCTCTGAGGTAGGCACAGGTACAAATCAGAAGAAGAATCACTGTAAGAAGTGACTGGAAGTTGAAAATGGCTGACTGCAACAGAAAATAAGGGATTAGTGAAAATGAAGACATCAAACCCCTCACTTAATATTTACATAGCTATGTGACACAGACAGTCACAAAAACACACACGCACACAAAGTTAGATGCCCTCAAATAACACAACAATATTGGAGGTCGAGTCAATAACAGAAGTCAAGGGTCATTTATGATTCCACATGATTGTTTAACACCAAATAGTTAGGAAAACATTTACAAAGCAATATTGATACAGAGAGCTAGCTAATGCTAACAACGATTAGTTTGCTCACTTGGCTTATATTCTTTCTTATTCATTCTTATACATCCATTCCTGCACACATTCAACGAAACAGTACATAAAAAGCCGCGCTGAAACTAGGACTAGCTCACATACAAAAAAATGTAGGGAAAAAAACGATTTTTACCATTTTTGTTACGATTCAAAGCCACATCACACTTCCCCTGCACGCTGATGCTGACGTCAGCACGTCATTACGTCAACACGTCAGTCTCATGTTTCTGGTTTGTGATTGGCTTCTGCTATCGAACAAAGCGTCACCAGAACGTTGACTGGCGGTGTGTGGCACAGGAAGCACAGGAGTATGATACTAAGTTATATATATGATAAATATAACAGTTATAATAGTGATAGTGGTGTCATTTTACCGACCAGACTGCTGTGTGCTAGCTTTATAATCTTCTGTGAGTATGCACGCATAGCCGACATCAGTGCAACACATCATATATCTCAGTGTATAATTCATAAGTGCAGCTAAAAAAAAATAATCCTTGTTTTGAGTTATAACAAGCTGAAACGTCACTAACTAATTGACTTGATCTTACCTGTTACATATAACTGTAAGGCACGTGTATAAGTTAAACCCATAGTACGGAACATTATCTGCGGAGGAGTCTATGAGCCAGACACATTTTTTGTGTTGCAAAGGAACAACATCAACCCCTGGTGGGGGCGCCCTCCTCCAGGACAAGCACAAGTCAGGTTTGTGGAGATGAAAGCCAGATCACAGTTAAGGCTACTATGCCATACAATTACATTGAATGTGAACGGGGAAAACACGCTTCAAATGAAATTCATTTTGTTTGGAAAAAACCCTGAAGGTTTTGTCCATTTGTCCATTCCTGACAGACCACCGTTTTTTTCATTGAGGTGTTCTTCTGTCATTATCAGAGGGTCATCATCCCTGTAACAGATGTTACAGTAACTAATGAGTAGCTTGGCTTGTTTTATGGGGTTAAAGTTGGCCCTTCCAGCCTGCGTGCTCTGTCTCCTCATACAGCAATAATGCTTTATTCACCAAGCCTCATCGTGGCAAAGGTGCATTTGGAAAAGCATAATTAAGTTGGACAAATGTACTGTATACATTTTTTTCACATATCTTGTGCATGTGAACTAAAGACATAAAAGACAACAACTAAAGTTTTGTCACATTGTGACTTATGCTCAGTGTCCAAAGGGGTTCATTTTCATTTTTGTAAACGTGTTCAACTCGGCCAACTTCTAATTAAACTGTCGTTTGCCACCTCCCCTACCATGTGCCCTGTATTTAAACTGGTGGTGATGTCCAGTTCACCTCTCACTTAACGAGAAAGCAAGAATTATTGTGACCTGGACATCCGTAATCAAGTAAAAGTTCTGTTCCCAAACTACTCAATCGAATGTTGTTCATTCATTCTCACTATTTTTTAAGGCTTTATATTGATTGCCATCTAAAAAGCCTGAAATTGGCTATGCATTAAATTTTACATCCAGTTTTATAAATATTATTATTATGTAAATTACCTAAAAAGATACGAATATAGTCTTTTTTATTTTTGCAGTTCTGGCAGGCATGAGTAGTGCCGTTCACCAAATCTTCATAACCAGTGACCCAAACATTCCATACTTCCTTCGGGTGGACTGGTCAGGTGACCTTGGTGCTGGGTTTACACTTTTTTTGACCAATGGCAGTGCTGCCTGGACTGGAGAAGGTATGGAAACACACACACACGTCTTCTTCTTAAATAAAGATTGGCAGCTACAGGTGTACTCAATATTAAACCATACAAGGCTGGTCTTTATGGTGTCCGTCAATGCTTTTCTGGTTGTCTATACACACACAAGTGCTATTTCTATGAAGGGACACCTGGAATACAACAGGTCCTTAGTCTTATTGCGGCCCATCTGCACAGTTGACAGGCAGCTCTTGGTGCTTTGCACAGGCTCATGGATAGTCATTCTTTGTGTTTGATGTGTTAATTGTGACCCTCTGAGCAGCTGTGCTACTGATGACATTCTCTGTGTATCATGTGAGATCAATCTTAATGTACCTATGCTTTACCACAAGGTCAAATAAAAAACATTAAATCTGTTGGGCATCAATTAGTACTGGTGTTTTTTTTAAACACCAGCACTAATCGATGCATGTTTCTTACGTAAAATGTGAAAGCCAGTTAATGTTTAATAATGTAATCATCTTTTGTAGTTTCAGAAGAAGAGGTCACAAAAGGAGCGAGTGACACTGGAATCTGCAGAAAGGAATATGTCGAAGAGCTGCATAAAACTTTAATTCGAGATATGAAAGGAAGCGGGCATTCAGAAAGGAGCAAGTATTCATTCCAACTCTCTTCAGATCTGCTAACATATCAAAAGACATCTGACAATGCCTTGGTAAGCAATACGTCACTGATTATATACAATAATAATAATAATTTCCTCCCCAATTTGTGCTGAATAGAATTGATATGATTTTGTTGCTGAATGTATTTACTTGAATTGCGATAGTACAGGCTAGTTCCAGGTTACACTTTTTACAGTGTTTCTCAACCAGTGTGTTGTGGCACGTTGCCTTGAGATGTTGATTGGTGTGGAGATTCAGAAAAGATTAAGGTTAGATTTTTTGTGTGCAATTGTTTGATTTGATTTTTAAGACACTTTGATGAGAATGACGTTGCGTGGTTAATAAAGGCAACACTGGCTTGTCCAGAGCGGTGCTTCATTCAGCACAGGACACATGAACAATCCCAGTCCCTCGCTAAGTGTGTATTCAGAAACCACACGCATCAGCGCATACTGCTGCTGGTGTAAATAAAATGTATGGCTGGTCTAAAGTTAAGTCATATACTGTTATGGCCTGAGATCCGGAAACCCCTTTTTTGTTCCTTCAGCTGTAGGAATCATTGTCAATAACAATTCTAATATATCAGAAATGATATTTGGTACCAACCCTAAAGTTGCGCAACACAATTTTTCTGTTTTTTCCTGGAGTGCGCCATTGGAGATGAGAGACTTCATTAGGCTAAGTTACAAGTCATATCTGCCAACTCAATGGAAGAATCGTATTGTTTAAAATATATGTCATTAAATCATTGATATGTGTTGTCAGGGTGACAGTAGCTCAGTTGGTAGAGCATTGGCCTTTGAGCAGGTCGTGTGTTTGAGCCCACCACAATACTTTCTCCACCGATTCCAACTGATGTCTGCTGTCGTTGTGTCCTTAGGCAAGACACTTCACCCCCATTGCCTAGAATGAGTCTGGTGTGTGTGTAAATGGTTGGTGGTGGTCGGAGGGCCTGATGGCACATACTGGTTGCCTCGCTTCTGTCAGTGTGCCCCAGGGCAGCTGTGGCTACAGTAGTAGTTTATCACCAGTGTGTTTGGAGTAAAAAAATAATGACATGTAAAGCGTCTTTGAGTGTCCAAAAAAGCGCTGTATAAAACCGATGCATCATTATTATTATCATTATCCTTATGGCAACAAGCCGGGACAGAACCTCATCAGAAAATAGTGCAATCCACTTTTTATTAAATTCTGGAATGTTACAGATAATACCCCTAGTCATAAGAACAAATATAGCTGACTAATATAGGTTTTTTGTTTGTTATATGACAATAAAAATGTGTTTATGTACATCAAAACGTCAACTTAACTGAAGCCAGCTTTTATAGAAGACCTCTGACAGGGTCTGAAGGAAAGTGTAGCTTTTAATTGAATGTGCTACTTTCCTCTCAGCTTGACTCGGAGCTTTGATCACTGTCTGCAGCCTGTGTGTGGCAAAAGTAAAAATCTATAAAGAGCAAAGTAACTACCACAAAACACCTGTTTCTTCTCTTCTCATTTTGCTTCAACTTCAGTTTTTAGCCAGCCCCAGTTTAAATGCGTTACATATTTTCTATGTAATTTCAGGCTCCTGACATAAATCTCTAAAAATGAGACATGTTTCCTCTGACAATTGATGAAAGAGAGGTGGAAAGCAAACAGGTGGTTGTATCGCTGTGACAATGATTTATGAATATGACCCTGGAAGTTCTAACAATGACTGTAATATGCTTGTTCTTAACTGTAAAATCACTGTCTTGGATTCTCATTAGTGACAATATTTAGGGATCAAACTGTAATGTCAGAAGTTACAGCACACAGCAACGTTTTGGTTTAGGACAGAGTGTTAAACTACTTTTGGTGTTTTTTTTTTTTTTAGACTAGACTAATACCAGGACATCCATCTTTTCCGTTTGGATAATATTTGCTGGTATGTTCTTCTGAACAAACTGTTTAATTATGTTTTGGATTGAACCAAAGCTTGACCAAGGCTAAGTAAGGCTTGTTATAGATGTATTTATTATTATTAAAAAAATCATAAGAATAACTAGGTTGTCTCCCATCAGGTTAACATCTCACCATCAATGCCTGCAAGTCAATATTGAAAATAGAAACATACTTCTCCAAAGGTTTGACACCACTATTTTAGGGTGTCACACTTTCCCATCATTACTGTGTTTAAGTGCAGTTAATTGTATCATTTTTTTTTGCCACAGGCTGTAGAAACCTGACTCACACCTTGGGAGTTAACCTAGTAACTAATACTAATATAGTTACATATCTCTACTCTTTGTACAACCAGATATACATCAAATTCATATATATGAATATTTATGAATTTGATCTACCACAGGATTTTAGCTTTAAATATTGGTACATAAACAACACAAAAATCATGTTGAATACCTGGTCTCAATCATTATTGTTTGTGGGCTGTTTTTGTGAATTATAAACTATCAAATTAACTAATCTGACGCATTGTTGGGCTGAGATGGGATTTTGGGTGAATAAAGCCTCTGATAATGAAGGCTTTGTGTGCAGTGCCCTGTGTGGCATCCTCCTGTTTGTTTTTTCTGCTCCACACCTACGTTTCCCTTTCTCCAAATGCCTCATCTCAGTCAAAGCCACACAAACAAACAGACCACACACCACACCTCCTTCACTGACAACGACTTTTAAAAGCACTCGATGGGTTTCCTTGGGCTCATTTTTGTCGCCTTTTGTTGTATCTGATGTTCCTAAAATTTGTAAAGATGCGTATTAGTGGTGCAGGTTTGCCGATGGCCTGACCACACTGGCACAGGAGGATGACCTCTCTCTCAGCTCTCAGTCTCTGGGCCTAAACAGCAGCTTAAGAAAATACATCTGAACTCAACAAATGAAAAGAAAATAAGGATTGTTGTTTTTCTTCAATCAAGTTCTTTAGTTAAACAGCACAGTCTGGTACTACTTAAGCTTTGTCCTGTTTGTCTGAAGTAAGGAAAAAAGAATTGACCCAGCTGACTCCGTTGCACCAGAAGACATGGAGACTAATGACAAAGAAGGGATATTAACGTCAAAAAAGATGAATGGTTTCACTGAGGTACTGTCAGGCACAGTGATTATAGCATGGCACTTTTCTACTGTAAATGAAGAAATATTACAGAACTCTGTGTTAAAAGCTACAATTAGTTGTTCAAATGTGGTGAATGACCAGTTTGCTGGTATCGCGTGTAGTTGAATGAGAAAAAAGTGACTTAGTATTATCCTCTTTCCCACTGGCTATAACAAAAAATAACCTATAAATGAGGCAAAACACAAAATATCATTGCATACCATGTCATGTCATGTAATTTTCATCCCCTTTATTAATCAGTTTAATGAATCCATAACTGCATACCAGCCATGGGAAAAGACAACTTGGATATATCTTTAGAATTGAACATTTGTTCAATATATCCCAGCACATACATGTGACCTATGTGTAGCTCTGGTCTCGTTGACAAATGTCCATTTGTACTCATGTGAACAAACAGCTGTGTGGCAAGTCAGGACATTATCCGTTCAGGACAAAAATGACAAGAATTTTATGGGTTTGTTTGAAGATGACACAAGATAGATTTGATTACCAACAGTGTTTGACCTGAATAGTGGCCAAAGTTAATTTTCCGGCACCTTTTTTTACCGCAGCACAAGGGAGGTTAGAATGAAAGAAAAAGTTGTGGAATGTTGAATTTGAAAGTTAAAGTTGCGTTTCTGTGTCAAAAAATGTGCATGTCTTTTTTAATTTAAAGTTTTCAAATCAACATAATTAATCAAAGCATGAGCTATTTGATATAGGATAAGCTTTAATGTGAACATGTGTTTATGTCTCACAAATCGTGACTAGTAAAAGCAAAATCAGAACGCAGACTTTTCAAATGACGTACAATGTGACAGAATGCTGGCAGTCAGACAATATAGACTTGTGTACTACTTGTACTTGTATACAAAACTAAGTATAAGGTATTAAGATTAAGATATCCTTTATTTGTCCCACAGTGCGGAAATTTCAGTGTTGCATCAAAAGTTATAGAACAGTAGGAAAGAGGAGCACACAGCACAAGTTAAGTGAACAATAGCTATACTAATAAAAATAAAACAAAATCTCTATCTCTGCATCAATAAAAGTATGATAACTATCTTGAAAATAATAATAAAAGATGTGTAAAAGTTTTACATTTGGAAATATAAGTATCGTATAAGTTACTTTCAATGACCCCCATCATTTATCCTTGACCAACTACATTTTGAATAATAGTTTATTTTACACTTGCATGAATTTTATAAAGATTTAGCATCTGTGGCTGACCTCGACAAAATGAATCAAAGGCGGAATGTTTGATTACATTTAAAACATAGCTGTGATTCAAATGTGTCATCAAAGAGAAACCGACCGGCAGATACTCGAGTGACTCAGTGCTAAATGCTAAATCCGGCCTGGATCTTCCTCAGACAGAGAAAAGCACTCATCGTTTTGAAATTGTCAGACTTCAGACACATTCTGACGTAATCTTTGACGCATCATTTTGGAAAAGATCTCAACACAACACTGAAGTGCAAGTGCTTACTCATGTATTACCATGGACAGCATTCTGTGATACACACACTTCTCAATACCCTCCTTTCCCCAATCTTAGTGGTCATCACACAGGGAAACCTACAGGACACAATACATGATTATCAACATTATGTCTCTTTTTCTACTGTCAAATATCAACCTACACTTTTGAATGCTATCTCTGCAATCTTGATTTGGTTGGTCTTTGATAAGCTTTGTCCCTCCTTTCCCTTAGGTAAAGTTGGGATCTGTGGAGCTCCAGCCAGCACCAGACCCCCTGGAGCTAAATCGCGAGATGATAAGCCAATCCCTTAACCGTAACTTGGATCTGGAGGCAAAAAACTCTAAGCTTTTGGCAGAGGATTCTGAACTCCAAAAAGAGCACAGGCAGATTCTTAAAGAGTAAGCCACTGTATTTCTTTAGTATTGTTTAAATGAAATATGTAACCTCTACCTTATTACCAACTGGTAAAACGGATTATCAAAATAATGCTGGATTACAACTCTTTGTGACTGTAAAATGTGGTTGTTTAAATGTGTGTTTTCAGGCTGAAAATACATGTCAAAAATAAGAATCTTCTGGAAAAGAAAATGTATTCCAATTTTATGATGATTCTCAATGACAAAAAGTCCAAGATCAGGGAGCTGCAGGAGACTGTCCGCAGCTTGCAACAGACCAGTGACCATCCCAAAGCCAAAGTGAGGAAACAAAGGTTTGATTCAACGTTTCTTTAGTTCTATGTATTTAGTAGTAATGCAGTGAAAAACAAGAGAGCATAATATGTTTTGTCATTGTCAGACAAGTTCTGCCTTTTTTTCAAAACAATGAAAGCGGTTTCATTTTTGAAGGCTCTGTACTGAGGAGGAGAGCAGCCTGGACACAAGCCACTTTCAAGATCCAACCATTCCTATTACAGGTACTATTATAAGTTATACATGCATCAAGATACATATTAACTTGTTTTATGTACCCCAGTACCTTTCTAGCGATAAGTAGACGTATGGTGGACTATGTATTTTCCATATGATGTCACTCAGTAATGAGGCCGGTGTTTAGGCCATTACTCCACTCTTGCAGCTTTTCACTGTCTATTAAAGTGGACAGTTGACTGTAGTAGATTTTGTAAGCTGGAGGTTTAAACAAAGTCAAAGCACACTAAGCCATTACCTACAAAAGCACAGTTCTGGGAACTTCTTGTCATTGAGTTGAAAACTTGCAGAACAAAGTGGGCAGTGATTGTTTCAACACGACTCACATTGAGGTGGTCTGCATCATGGAGCGTAAGTGTGATGTCATGAGATCTCATTCAGACCCCCTCCAATATAATGTGCAAGGCTTCCATTGTTCTATCAATGGCTGCATCTGTCTTTGTGCCCAGAAGCACATTTCATTTGGGAATTGAGGTATATGTTTTTAGTTCACACTGCGGTAACTGTCATCAGAGTCCATGTGACTTCTCATACTTGTACCGTGCTCATTTACTCTGCACACAATAACACAATGCAAAAGTAATTTAACCATTTCATGTTTTTCTTATATTAGCTTAATTCATTTGTGGAGGCAAATTTCACTTTGGCATACTTGACACGAGTTGGTCCTTTTGCTTTGGGCTGTTAAAGGTAAAGAGTGTTTGACCTGTTTTATCAAGGGTCTGTACTTTGGTCGTGAATGGAAATAAAGGACAATAGGCAATCAAATGCTATTTTCGGGATTATTGAAATGTAACGAGATAATATAAATTGACCTTATATCTTTATTTTTTAATGATATATCTTCCAAGTGACTCTTCTAGATTGGAGATCTTAATGTGTTGTAGTTTACGGTTAAGATGGTGTACCTCGCTGGAATGCCACATTCAGGGATGCTGATTTGCCTTAGAGGCTATCTGCATCTATCTTGTTTTATTTTACTAGCTAACTATTTTCTTATTTATTAAGGGGAGAGGGGGGTAGGTAAACAAGGAGAGGTTATATTTCTTTATAACCTTTCTGCCCCTGGCCAGATGTGTGTACTGATAAGGCCTGCATGCAGATGTTGAGGACTATCTGACTTAATTTACATAAATGCCATTCATGGATTTTTTACTTGAGAGATTGTAATAGTTTCAACATGGAAAAAATGTGAGATTGTTATTGGATCATATTCTTATTTGTATGTGTTCTAGATCATAATCAGGCATGCCATGGGATCTCTGTTGACCAGAGTTTTTCTTCCTCTCAAGAAAGTCCAGAACCAGATGCACAGGCCTGAGGTATAAGTCTCTTACAAAGTAACTGCTGAAAAAAGGGCTTCCAGAACTGAAATCACACAACCAATTCAATTTGCAAGGCACTCGAAAAAACAACTGGAATGGAAAATGGTAAACACTCAATAGAAACTAGTCATAGTTTCTCCTGTATCAGGACTGATGGAAGAGAAGGGGAGAAGGAGCAGGGTCCTCACAGACCGGATCCTGTGGGGCTCTGACTGTGATCCACAGTCTTGGCTCAGAAACACAACCTTCATAACATGCAACAAATAAAATGTAAAGGTTTGAGTTACTGCACGGGGAGGGCTGTCAGGGGAGAGAGGTTTTTTCATAGATAAATTAAGGACATAGTAGGAGCCAAACTGTTATTTGTCATCAGGCTTTAAATTAAAATGTCTCAGGACCATTTTTAGTACTCACATTTTGATGTATTTCCATCCATCCATCCATTTTCTTCCCCTTAATCCATTTCTGGGTTGGGGGTGGCAGTCAGAGCTGCACCCAATTCACATAGCATCATTCAATTTGTTTATGTATTTACTTTTTTATTACTTAAAAGAGCGAAGTAGGCTTTTTGTTTAGGGAATAAAGCACTGGAACTTGTACACAGGTTTTGACATATACAGTTCTGACACAAAAACACTAAAAAGAGAGCTGTAGTCAAATGAAAAGCATTATATCCTGGACATGCTGCTTACATGTTTCAACACTGGACGAGTCTTCTTCAGGGCTTCATGAACAGCTGTAGAGGTCACATTACCAATCAGTCAGCTTTTCGTTTACTTCCTACCGCCAACTTGAGGTCCTGAGGTCATCCCAGTGTGGCTCCATTCCCTGCAGAAGTCTTGAACACTGAGCCTCCACGTCTCTAGCTACTGAACTTCACCGTGTTGCTCATTTTATCTGGATGTCAGTGGATAACCGCGGGTGGCTGCCCACATAATCCTACAGCACATGCGTTTTACCTTTTATAATCCCTATAGGAATGTCTCACTCCCAACAATTTCTTGCATCGAGGGCTTGCTATCAATATATGTTCAGTTCCATTTCAGTTCTCCTAAATAATGGGACTAACTTGCAACTAATTAATAACTAGTTTAATCGTCCAAATATATATAGTCCCAAGAGAACCAGACACTTTCATTGGAGCCATTCTAGAAAAAATCCTCTGATTGTATATGTAAAACCACAAGTGTGTCCGTTTCCACGAGTCTCTGAAGGCATTTGCTTCTGAAGTGAACAAAGTCCACTTGACCAGTGATGTAAAATGTCAATGTGTTGTTAGAACTTAAGATTAATGTATAACAAATATCAAATAATGTAGTACAAATATCAAATAATGTAGTACATCACATCTGTCATAAATATAATATTTTCTCCTTTTTTCGGTTTTAAATAGTATTTCCTCCAAATGAACTGATGAAGGCTTTATTTGTCTATTCTCCCACACACTCTTTATTGGCTTAGTCATGTCATCTTGCCTTACCTGTTGCTTCTTTAGATCCCAGTGGGAATACTACTGGTTTTCATTAGTGAAACGTAAAACCAACTTTTACAAGATGATTAAATATACAGTGTTATATGGGTTTGTCCTTGACACCCCCAACTTGCATAACTTCAAAAGTGGTAATAATGTATTTACTGCCACAGGTCAAGACCAATTCTGATTTGAATTCAAATGGAGCAGACCTCTGACATGTGTAACTAGTTTGTTTAGTCTGAAAGTTTCAGCAGGGTTGGCATTTCAGATGTTCAATAAAAATGTTGATGATTGGGCGTTTATACTGTACTACACTACGTACCATTTAAGTATTTAAAGTGCTTTTATTGCATATTCCTTCCCCCCAAAACTTATAATCTACATAAGACATTTTTTTCACAATTATTTGTGGCAAAAGCAGCGGATGCACAGAGCTGTACTCGATGTCACTTCAACACACCCATCTCCTGCGGTCTGAGCGTTTTGCGTCTTCACTTTTCCAATGACTCTAAACCCTTGGACACAGGCTGTAGATCATATGTCATGATGATGTGATGACGCATGCCTTGTTTTCTCATAAATACTTCAGTCCATTGAGGTTCAGCAAATAGGAGGATCCAGGGATACAATTAAACATTTCCCACCAGATGCATCATCTTAACTGGAGTTGACATTGAAACAGGCTGTTATTGGTTACTGATGGCCTCTTGAATTGTTTTTTTTTTTTTCTTTTATACGGAAGATAGTCCATACAATAAAAGTATACAAATGAAACTTCTGAATGGACTAATGCAAACCTTTTATCTTGACAAATTATATGGATTTTCTTATATGGGTTAGGGTTAAAAACATTCTGAATTTTCAAGGAGTTGTAAAAATTATGTTCTTTTACAGGAGAACATGGGACATCACTGAGAGAACGTCGCTCTGCTGCCTAAAGAACAATGTATAATGTATGAATGGTTTATTGATCTGTTCCTAAGAAAAGGTATTCAGCATTATTAGTCATACAGTTGCAATGTTTTAACTCACTCTAGCAATAAACGGCCACCTATTGAATGGATGTGAATATTATGCAGTGAAGAAAGCGTTATCTCAGTCATTATTATGTGCTATTTAGAATAACGGAGAAACATGGAAACGCTTATTTGTGTTGAAAATAAAGTGTGTTTTTATATAAAAGCAGTCCACTCCACACGACTGGACTTCCACTGAAACATAATTGTATGGGGTCGTCAACCAGCGCTTACCTCTCATGGCCTCTGCGCTAAAGCTGAAAGATCACCATCAGGGGTCTGGCCCTCCACTGTCGGCTCCAAAGGATCAAGGTCCCTGTCTGTCCAGAGGCAACTTCATTTGACCACATTTTATGCTTTAAATGGGGATTTGCTTGCTGAATAACTCTCCGAACTTGTTCAGTGAAGGCTGGGAATAACTGCATCTTGTAACATTGTCTCTTAGCATTCGTTCTTGGTGTTGGCCGACTCACTCGCTCACTTGTTGTTTTGCCTCTGAGTTTATGGAATTTGTTGAGCAAAATGTTCAGCGTGCTACTTTAATCAGCGAGTCAAGCCGAGTTGTAGAAATGCAGCACTGTTAAATTCTGTCTGTGATGGCATGGTACCGGACGAGCATCACCTTTATTAGTCATGTGATACGTGGTGTCTTTTGGGGCCCGCACAGCACCTCTCCAGGATCAAACACTCGCTAACTCACTGTACGAGTCACTCATTTATAGGGACCAAAACACAACCAGAGGTCTTCGTTACATGTTTACAGTACAGCAGGTTTGCATTTTTTTTCTTAATTTAAATTGAGTAATATATAAAAAAGTAGTGTTGTAGATGATAACAAATAGCAAATACTTGTTTGAACGATTCTCATTATGGTCCACAATAATTTCAGTAATGTCTAGTGTTGAATTTATGAATTTATGAGTAATTAATTAAAATGACAAATCACAATGACATAAACTTTCACTGAGATTGTATTTAGTGTTAGTTCCAAGGTTCATTGTCTTGTTACCCAGGGGCCTCAAATGAAGAGCACTCTGGTAACCGCTGCTAGTGAGATGATTACAATGTACACAGGTAGGGAAAAGACACATTTGACTTTTACAAGTGCCTGGAGGGCTCACCATGCTTGGGTGTCAGCTGCAACATGTACAACTTGTGATTTGGAATAATTAGTCTGGTCCAGTACTAGTCTGTATGCTCACCAGGTCTGGACATACATAACACATACCACATAGTATATGTTGAACACATGTAATATGGACAGGATCAGGGTTATTCACATGTAGGTACAGTTTGCAGGCTTTTGAGTATTGGAACCCTTAAATACCCTTCACGTTCAATTTAGTGATTTTATGAAGAAATTATGATGACCGAAATGTGGATTTTTTTTTAATGTGAGGAACTTTGAATTACATTTTGTATGAATTATGATTTACAATTACGATCCCCACAGTGGTCCACAGTCGTAGTCCACTAGTGTTCACACTAGTACCACATGTTGAGATATCCCTGACCAGCAGCACTGGCAGAACCACAGCAAACCTGAGTCACAGTCAGAACAAGACTGCACCACCCATTTTCCACTGACCACTTGTAGACATGACTCTTCTCTTTTGAGAATGTATCTGATCCGTACCAAATTATTTGATCAGTATATCATTTTTAACTTGATCAATAACTTCAGAAAAGGCCAAAGGCAACGCCTGTGGAGCGTCTCCAGAGCAGTCCTGATGTTTGTTTGATCCGGGATTAGTTTGGTTTGTTGTGTCACATTTCACATTTGCACACTTTCCCTGTTTAATCACTAGCCTCTTAATGGTTCCTTGTGATTGGCTGTGAGTGAACCCCAGGTGTCCCCTTCACTTTTTGATGGGCGCACTGCCCCTCCTCTTTAACCCTGACGAAATAACAGGGTGTCTTCGACAGAATCGGACCTGTTGCTTTCCGCTCCATCCCCTCTGTCTGTGCTCTGGGTCCTACAGTCTGTCTCTGTGCTCTGGGTCCTACAGTCTGTCGGGAGCATGTCACGGACTATCAAATAAAGAGAAAGTGCGCATCAGGAAGAGCGCGCGTGTTCTGGGGACCCGTTTTACGCACACATTGGGACTTACTGGATGTATAAAACAACAGACAACCAGGTTTCGTTTAATTTTATGGATTAAACAATCTTTCAAGGTAAGTGCAACTTTTTAGATCTCCTGTTAAATTACCCTACAATATTTATTGTTTTTTTCAATTAGCCTCCCAAATATCAAATACTGGCCATATATACCCCGAAGGCACGTTTATTTGTGACTTTCAATTATTATTATTATTTTTAATTATTATTTTTACAAGGACGTTTGGGCGCAATAAAGTTGAGTTGAGAAGCCGAAGATGCTCCGGTGTCCTCAGATAACCTACAGTTCGTGCGCATGTGCTTCTCCCCGTTTCGCTCAATAGATAGATATAAAAGTTGTTTATAAATATTATTTGATATCGTCGTTGCGACATAACCGCGTTTGCTCAGATGTCGAGTTCTTAAAATGTGAGTATAATGAACAAATAAAATAAATACAAGTCAAGTTGCCATCAGTCGTGATGACTTTCTCCCCCACGTAAATTTCACACTTCGGCTTATTGACCATAAGATCAGCTCACAGAATGTACATCTTTAATGTAAATGTTGTTTCTGTGCGTAAATATTTCTGAAGAATTACACTCGTTACGTGACGTGATTTCTCTGATTAAGCGGTTAGCCTTATGTCTGTGACCCATAGATAACTTTTGTAATCTTCTAAATTACATGTATACATTTATTTTAATTTTGCTTTGCCCTAAATCACAACAGTTGGCGTTTTGTAGGACTTCACATTATTGTCACTTCGTCAAAAGCAGATTAGAAAATCAAACAAGTAGAATACAAGAAATGGAATAATAGTCAATAAAGAAAAAAAAACACAGACGTCTTTGTTCGATAAGGTACGACCAATATCCGTTTATAGATATATTTTATATATAGCCAACATAATAGGCTATATGTTGCTGAACCTTTACATTATTATTAATCTTGGTAAATGTTCACCACAGACTGTATCATTTTTTGACAAAGCCACACTTTTTTCTTTTGTTAACAGATGATACTGAATGTAAAGCATATTCTGTGGTTATGTTGGCTCTGTGAATCTGCCTCTGCCACAAGTAAGTGTTACACAAACTACTACTAATCACATGCAACTTTGTGACTTTAGAGAATGTGATTTCTTACGCTCATTTATTGGACAAACAATGCTCTCAGGGCATAGTGCCTGGGTGGCTGGAGGCTTTGATTGACACCTTTCAATTAGACAGTGCTGGCAGTCGTACAGCTGGCCCTTCCCCAGATAAGGCCCTCCCCTGTAGCTCACACCCCCTGGGCACTGCTGTAGCCCCAGTATTATCCACTGTCTTCCTCTTCCCAAATCCATAAAGAGAGTGGATTTGTCTTCATAAGTTTGTGTGTAGGATTTTGTTTACCTAAACTGTTGCAGCCACAGACTATTATCTCATGTCTCGAAGTTAAAATGTAATACACTTTTCCACAATGATGAACGTAACCATGACACAAAAAAGATCTTGACCTTTCTAAAAACACATATGCACTACTAACGTCCCACACCCTATGTTTTCAAGATGAGGGTTGACTTTCCATCAGTGTGTTTCAGGACATGATGCATGTTTTTATTAGTCTGGGTGTAGTTTACACACCCTGTCAATGAACCAGGCAGGAGTTACGTCTCTACTCTTGAATAAACCCAACTATATGTCCTAGAGTAGTTATAGGCAGTTAACATATTTTGTGAATGTTTTTGATCTAATATTTTGCATACCTTGCAGCTACCAATGCTCTGTCCATTATCCGACCAGTGAAAGGCTTGCTTTCTGGAAAAGTGACGCTTCCCTGCTTCTTTTCAATAATCCCAACCTCAGCCCCAATCGCAAGTCCAAATGGAACCATTCTTTACAACAGAGACTATCTACGTATCAAATGGACCAGAATTGATTCAGAATCTGAATCCACTGTGCTGGTGGCACAAGACGGGGTTATTAAGATTGGCTCCAGCTATCGCTTCAGGGTGTCGGTGCCCAGTCACCCTGAGGACGTTGGTGATGCGTCTTTGACCATGGTGAAGCTACGGGCCAGTGATGCCGGCACATATCGCTGTGAGGTCATGTACGGCATCGAGGACACGCAGGACACCGTCAGTCTGGATGTTAGCGGTGAGAACTCTTTTTGATCTTTCACACTTGGGTGGTTAGTTTGCTGAATAATGTGGAAATCCAATACAGATGGTGATAGAAAAGTAAACATGAACACAGCATGCCTTTTCATTGTCCAGTTCAGATACACAGTAACCACACATTATGCTACATTTTATATGGGATCCCATACCCCTTTATTATGTGTGGTATCATTACCTTCATTATATTTCACTTTGCAGAGAGCACTGGGTGTCTTTTTGTGCTGCCTTATGTTGTGTATTAAAGCTGAAGTACCTAACATTGAAACGACAAAAAAATGCAAATATCTAATCAGATTAATCTTTCTAAAACTTTTCATATCCATGTATTCTGGCCTCTGTCCATCTTTAGATGTGTAACGACAGCAATCAGACCTGATTTGTTCAAACGTTTGACTTTTACAAGACTCTTTCTGTTGGGACAAACAAAAGCTAGATACCAGCTTTGAACCCTTGTTCAAATTGAATACATACGCCGAGCGTAGATTTAAAGTTATTGTCTCCTTGGGATTTGATAAAAGATACTTTCTCGTAGAGCCTGTCTTGGGAGACATAACTCGTGTGGGGATGTACTAAACAGCAGGGTGGGGGACACCCAGATACTTTTGGTCGACTCTACTTACCACTGCACAACGTCTTTCCAAATATCTACAAAGATAATTAGTTTCATAAATCCTCAGTTTTACGTCTATTTAGCGTCCGCAAATATGGGGATTTCAGTAGATCGGCATCAGCCGCACTTATCATATTCCTTTGTGGTAAGAGTTGAGTATTGCACTTCCTTTTGTTTATTGCCACACACTTTTCTCCTTTTTAATGCATGCTTTATGAGACAAAAAAAATCAGACTTTCTTGACGCACAAACTCTATAATTTATTTGAATAACAGTAATAGTTAAAGTTTGTGCATTTTATTTTCTCAGGTGTTGTCTTTCATTACCGTGCCAATACAAGCCGGTACACTCTAGACTACCAGAAAGCCATTCAAACATGTGAGAACGTTGGGGCCACCATTGCCACATACGCACAACTGAAATCTGCCTACGAGGATGGCTTTGATCAGTGTGATGCAGGATGGATTGCTGACCAGACAGTAAGGTCTGTCAAGTAGATGTTCTTTTCATCATTATTATGTTCAAATACAAATATATCAATGACCCATATTTATTTTTTCCTTTTGAAATCTAGATATCCAATTATACAGCCGAGAAAGGGCTGTTATGGGAACCTCAAAACGAAACCTGGCATAAGGACATATGGGATACGAAAGCCGTCAGACACATATGACGTCTACTGTTACGTGGACAAACTTGATGGTGAGTCAATCGCAAACCACAACTCTGCCAACCAAAAGAAGAAAGCCAAAATGATTATCTGTTCAATGTGGAATTGACAAGTTACAAGTCATTGCATTGAAAAACAAAGAACGTGTTGGCCACATTCTCGCCTTCATGCTCCAACGCAAAAATGTCCAGCTTCTATACAGGGTCCAAAATGTGATCTTTCGAGTCAGTGGGCGGCAAACACTCCGCATATGTGTAGTTTTTCACATTTTTTTGCTGAGCCGAATGCAAATGTCGCTACAAATGAGACTTTTCATGCATGTCTTCAATAGTGAAAAACACCTTTCTTTAGACAAAAAACCCAAATATTCAGAATCAAAAGAACACCATCCATAGTGCCCATAGTACAATAACTGTTAGTGTGAATTGTGAGGCCCAGAACATTACTAAAACCAAGACATTTGTATGGTTTTGAACAGATGTCTTCTCTGATGTCAGCCAGAGCAGACATCACCCCTCCCTGTAGTCACTGGAGATATTTGTTTTAAGTTCTTTGAATTAAAGGGAGAGATTTGAGAAGGAACTGAGAATCTCTTCTGAACTTGACTGGCTAATACTGTAAACAATTCATACGTTTTAGCATTTGTTTATTCAAGGTTTCATATATTTCTGTTTGGATCCATAGAGAGAGAGGGTACATTTATATTGCGGCACTAAGGCGTTGTAAAATAATAAGTAAGATGATGATGTATTTGGTCGTGGGATATTTGAATACTAACAATAAAGCATTGCACCCACAATATTCATTTAGACTACAAGGTATATATATAATATTTCCGACACCTACATTTTGACTGCAATGTTTTCTTGTTTTTGAAAAGTTCTTTGCACTTTGAAAAGTAAAAAAAACACACACACACAATTTGCCTTTAATTTGTGTTGTGTGGACAAATACTCTCCCTATCATTATCTCGACAGTCAGGGCAAAAGTCACCCCAGGCCCTTCACTAGCTCATACTGATGATTGACTGAAAGTGATGACGTTTAGTGACATGTTTGTATTTTCCCTTTGATTACATTTTATAATTGGTTTAAATAGTTTTACATTTGACAAGTAACATTTTAATTTAAAAGATATAACTAAAAAATGCTACAAATATACAGAAATAATGATTTCTAATACAAAATCCTTCCTCTTATGACATGAAATTACATGTAAAAATATGAACAATCTGAACATTCCATGAAAAATGAACATTTGTCTCAGATTTCTGCCTGTACCAATTCTGTTAATAAGAGAAAGTTTAATAAGGCCAAAGTTCCCATTCTGATTGTAACGCCTCTTGGTTGGGTTCCTAATGCTTTCTAATCCTCAGCAACTGTAGACCATCAGTGATAAACTCAGTCTGACCAGCAGCAGTGTGTCCTGTTTGGCTGCTCATGGTTAAATGATTTGTGCCTTTAATTCTGAAAAGTCCCCAGCTGTCGGAGCAAAATATTTATTTTGTGGTGAAAAGAAATTCTAGAGAAACTTTTGCAATTCACAATTCCATGGTAAATCAGTGTAAATAAACAGAACATGGGGCTTTAGGCTGTTACACCCTGACTAACACTACACATGAGGTCAGTAATCATTTTAATTTTCTGTATCTATTTTGTTTTTTTTTGCATTCACTAACCAGTTTTGGGGCTCTGTATTTTATCTCCTCATAGTCCATAAGCAGACTGTTGTACTAGAATATAAATAAAATTCAGAATGAAGTGATTTATTTTCTAACATCAAGGGATGTTTTTATAATTATATTTAGGCTATTTTAAAGTGACCTACTATGTACTGTATGTAGAATCGCCTTTTGCAAGTTTGTAACCATATTTTTTTCTATACTTCTCATTCACCCACAAAATTTGTTTTTTCAGAATAAGGTTGCTATGAGTGAACACAATTCACAAAGTTATATGTATAATTTAATAATTCATGGATGCCATTATAACTACAGTTTATAAAAGATACCATTCAAAGAATGTGACTTGTGAGGCTGTTTCTCCATCAGATGTTGTCTCTGTTACTCAGGTGAAGTCTTCTTTGCACCTGTGATGAAGAAAATGACTTTAGAAGAAGCCAGAGAGGAGTGTAAAGAGAGGATGTCTGTGCTGGCCACTCCTGGGCAGCTCCATGCAGCATGGAGACATGGCCTGGACCAGTGTGACTACGGCTGGCTCTCTGACGGAAGTGCACGGTACCCTGTCTCTGTGCCGCGGATGCAATGCGGTGGAGGCCTACTTGGAGTTAGAACTATGTATCGCTATAGAAACCAAACAGGCTTCCCAGACGTCAATACAAGGCTTGGGGCATACTGTTATAGAGGTAAGTCGAATTCCTAATGCATCAATGTTATCCATGGTTTTCGGATTGATGAAACCATATAATAAATACATTCAAATTCACAGTTTAAAATAAAATATTGAACAATAGATTTTTTAATAAAAACAATGTTGCTGAAATGTTGCATGGAACTGGCAGCTGCAACCCATTAATAATGTGGACAGTTATTTATTGAATCAATGATAAAATACATAGGTTTGCTGTGCGTAGTGAGTTTGAAAACATTTTCAGTCCTGGACAGTGGAGAGCTATGATCTCATCTCTTTTTCTCCTCCACCCTTTGATTTACTTCTCTGTTCTCAAATGGTAAACATTCAAAGTAGTCCAACATTTTAAAAGTTTAACACTAAGTCCCAATGGAACAAAGTAATTCTTTAAATGCCATTTATACCAGGGAGCTCTTTTATTCTTAGACAAAGAGCATATGGCTATCCACTACATTAATTGTGAAATAGTTTACGTTTGTCACATTGAATCAGATAAAATTGCCCTGTCTGGACATCTTTTGCCGTAGGCTAATTAGAAACACACCTGCAGTGTTACTATCTCATTCATTTCACTTCCTTTTCTTCTCTAATTTCCGCTGTCGTGTTTGCCCTCTGTCATTCTCACTTGTACTTATCAGAGCAGACGTTTGGATAATGGCCAAAGCTTCTGCTGGACTTCTAAATTCAGTCATCCTGAGTGACCCCTGACCTGCTCTTTCCATCTTTACAAACGAGAGACTGAGGAGATAAGCCCGCCGCTGCCCCAGCATTTACTGCCTCGAGCCAGGCTCAATCTCACTGTGATAAGTCTATAGAGAGCAGAGGGCACACAAACAGGCTCACCTCACCTCCTGCTTTGTGTATCCAAGTCAACTCTTCAGCAATGTTTTATTTAGAGCTTACAAGAGGCGGGTTCTCCTTTGCCATCCCCAATATATAATGGCAGGAGAAGTTAATGCAGCTGGGAAGCAATATGTGATATGAGATGTTTCATTGTTGATACCAAATGTAAATCAAGTTTGCAGTTCAAATAATTAATACATACATTTTCCTTGTCAATGTGTTTTTTCTAAAGCCCTGGAAAAGAGCAATGTAATTCTATTTTGATTGTGTTAGTCAAACTGGTCGGCCCTAACAAAACCGATATAATGGCCACCCAACCCTTACTTTCATATTTTCATAATCAGGGGTGCATGTGAGAGTGACTGACGGGGAACTTTATGCTAAGGTAGTGTCCAAGATGAGAAGGACATCATACTATTTTGGTTCTTGTTATATTTGTCTATAAGTTTGTTGCATTTATGAGTTTTTAATTTTTTTACAGGATGGAGCGAGACAATCAATCAAACTTCCGTTGTTGATGTTCGTATTGCTGCTGCCACTACAGCCGCGAGTTTAACCACCACCTCTAGCCCACTACTCGAAGCCAGTACTACCTCTGCCACCACAACAACCGAATCTTTACCGGAGAGTTCGGTTCCACCTTCTATGTTCTCGACCAGCATGACCCCGGTCCGTCCTGCCCCCACAGAACATGAAGAGTTATTCACCACATCTACTCCCACTATCAGGGATGAGGATGAGGACGAGACTGAGACAATGTTTGACCCTTCAATAGACTTGGATATTGATGACTTCACCAAGACAATCTTCGTAGAATCTGTTCCCCGCGGCGACATATTCCCAGAAATGTCTCACCCTACGGAATCTGACACAAATCTTGATGACCACTCGGTGATAGAAATCAGCACCATACGACCTGATGTCCCTTTGCCAGATGACTCGCACAGAACTGGCCCTATGTCTGCTGAGGGCACAACAGAGGAAACTATTGTAATCCCTGCCATGACCACAGATCTGTACGTTGACCCTGCAAACATAACAACGTCAGCAGAAGTGTCAAGTGAGATGATGTTCCCAGAAACGTCACCTTCATCTTCTGGAATTCATTCAACCTTTGTTCCATTTGATGACTATGATGACATTGAAACTGTATTTCATGTTGAAGCAAAACCACCTACACCAGTCCCACTCCAGATTACAACATTGACACCATCACAAAGTACTTCTTCCACTCAGCCTACAATTTTGCCTATAACATCAGATAGAGAAACCAGTGATGGAGATCTGTCTACAGCCCATGTTATGGATAAGTCCACCACCCCAACAGAGATATATTTCACCCAGGAATCCAAGACTGCGTCCTCAACGTTTCCTTTCACTCCAGAGATGTCAAGTGTGATCACAGGTAAGACAATGCACTGCACAGTAATCTATTGTAATTAATGTACATTTGTAATGGCATCAACATTTAGAGTGAAAATCTTCCTTCAAATCTTTCTTCTATTACAAATAATTACCATAATATTAATACAAAGTAAAACACTACAAAACAAACCACAATACATGTTAATTAACCCTAGGGAACCAAAGGAACAGTATTGCAATGTGAGCCCCTAAACACCTGGCCTAGTCCTATATATCTTATAAACAGGGCTCCACATTTTGTCTGTTTCACGTTTCTGAAGTACTCTGCCACTGAAGGGTTAATTTGCAGAATCAAATTGAAAATTGAAAATCAGGAAATATCTATTTTTTTATGAGGAAATAGTCAATAAACTCCCTTGGAATGCTAAATATATTGAAAAATAAGACTAAACTGCTTGCCCCATTGACAAATATTGTTTTTAAGACAATGATGACTTAATTCAAGATTTATGGATTTATTTCCTTTTATTTATTTTTTTGGCCGTGTCCATTAATTCTAACCCTAATTTCGAATCATATTTTTTATTATTAAAGTGGTTGTTGGACTATCACAATAATAGCCAAGCATATATTCAACTTCAAGTAATTACCTCAGTTCCCAGGACATGTTTAGGTTGTAAACAGGTGTTTTCATTGTAGAGGGCAGCATTTGCAGGTGTTCTAGTTTACAACCAATAATCTGTGGTTACAATTTGTGAGCATGAGAAGGAGTGGTGAGAGATGCACTGAGAGAGAATGAAGAGTGAATTTTGAATTGTAATTTTGACTTGTTTAAAACTTGAGTGTTAAATTAGATTTTGGTTGTGTTATGAGCAATGTCAAATGTTTAGGTGATATAGTGTTCCTGTTTACTATCATGTTGATTTATCTTCTTTACAGATGTATTTGATCATCCACAATCCCCTACAATACATACAGTGGCTGATCATCCTACACCATCTGTAGCTGATGGTGAGCCAGTTATGAATAGTCAAGAACTAGACATTTCCCAGTCCCCAGAATCTACTCCTCAGACCATAATTTTTATAAAGGACACACATGAGATTACCCTGGAGCCAATATCAGAAAAAGAAGAAGCCAAAGGTACACAAATAGTGACAAACGTAACCCCTCTCGAAACAGACAATGAAGTATCTACCATGCACGATTTTAACTTGACAGACACAACTACTGATTCATCCACTGAATCAGCACACAACATGACAGAAGTGTATGATTCTCCTGCCACACATTTTGTTGAACCTATTACGTCCATGAAAACAAATGAGATGGTCACAGTAGGGTCCACACAAATGTACACCTCATCCACTTCAATGCAATATACAAAAACTGCTCACACAGAGGCAGTGAGTGATGACACCTCGACCTCCCCTGATTCTGTTTTCACAACAGCAACTGAATTACGGGTTTCCACATCTCCAGTGGTGATGATGGATAAGGAAACTACCACTGACTCTGTCACATCTTTAAAAGAAGTGGTAAATGTTTCTTCAGCACATGAGCTCTCTACAGCCAAAGCCCACAGTATTATGATAGAGAACATGACATCCGGCCCAATAGCAACTGAAGAAATCACAATATCTACAACACCACATATACTCTACACATCTACAACAGACTCACCTAGTACTGACTCTTCAAAAATAACAATAGAGACTAAAGCTAGTATTGAAACCTCTATATCGGATTTGTTTTCAGAACATTATACCACTGAAAAACAACTATATCTAAAGACGACCTCATCAGATTTACCAAAGCATACGGCATCCTCTATCACAAATCAAACTGATGAAATGACACACTCTATTATTTTGTCAGAAACAACAGAACAGCCAATATTTCGCCAATCAACAAGTGAGACAAAAAGTATGAGTTCAACAGAAAGAACAGTAGATGTTTTCACCACTAAACAGGTCACCAAAGCCCCACATTTGTATTCTACACTTTCAACAGATAAAACCTCTTCAACAGAATATGCACAAGAATCAACATTTATGTATAAAACGACTGTAACTCCAGAAATGATGGCTGAATTCTCCACACCTCTTAGTGCTGATATTGCAAGTAAAAGCACAACAAAGCTGTCCATTCTACAGCCTGAAATTGTAACTGCTGGCAAAGAAACACCAACTGTAAGAATAATTCAACAATTGCTCCAACCTGAAGAGCCTACAGCTGCAACCAAAGACAATATTTCAAGGCTCACTACAACAGAAGAAACCGACACAACTGTAGGTGGATTATCAATTAGTAGTGTGATGCCAGATGTTCAATCTGAAGTAACTTTGTCTCCAAAAACTGAAGAGGTTGATGATGCTGATATTGCAAACAACCCAACAATTTATTTTTCCACCAACCAACCAATTCTGACTTCCAGTAAAGGCTCAGTGTCTCCAACAGAGTCAAGTTCAAGAAAGACAGTAACATTCCCAATAGTTGTTGCCACTACAGAGGAGACCATTAGATCCAGCAGTACAATAGATACAACTGACATTTTTTCAAAAGGGTCTCATGTTCCAATAACTTCCATAGCGGCCTCTGTTATAGCATCCACACTCACAGATGACATTTCAAGGCAAACTACAATTAGAAAGTCTTCACCTTCAGCCGCAACAATATTTGATGATGTAACATCATTTCAAGGAAGTTCGACACAACATGATTATGTTGACAGTACTGATGATTTTACAAAAGAATCACTTTTAAGTGCAACTCCATCTCCAGTCTTGGGGAATAACACTAAAGAAATTACCCCCCTAAGAGGAACAGACCCAGATTTTTATCCCAAGAGTGAAGCTATAGCGTCATCCAGTGTAGCAACACTGTTTACAACTCTATATCCTGCTTCCTCGATACGCGACATAGAGAAACAAACATCATCATTAAAGACCACCGATACTGGTGATATGTTTTCCTCAAATGCTACTGTTATAGACGGGATAATCAATGTTACTGGAACATCAAAACCATCAATAGATACTACTGCAAGAGCAATACCAGAATCAGAGTCAGTCAATACTGAAACACTTACCAAAGCAAATACAGAGAAGCCCATGGTTATCTCTACTTCATCTTTTTATAGCACAGAGAAACAAACATCCTCGGATGTAACTGATTCTGGTGCAAGTAGTGTAAAATCGACTCAAACTGTTGCAGAATCTGAATATACAGGCACAAAATGGTCTTCATCACAAACAAAAACAACTACCGAAGACATCACTTTACAAGCAACAGGGACTCTTGCTTCTTCACTATACAGCACAGAGAAACCAACATTATCTTCAGACTTAACTCATACTGGTACCAGCAGTGAAGTATCAACACCTTCCATGACACCTGTTGCAATGTCAACTGAAAAGTCAGGAGACTCAACTCCTGATATGATTTCCACAAGTACTGGCATTTTAGAAGTGACTATTTCATCAGAATCTCCTATATCACTTCACACAACTCCAAAATTAACATCAGAGTCAGTAATAACACAACATTCAGAATCAACAGAGACATTTGGAACAGCTACCAAAGGAAGTACAAAACAGCCAACCGTCACAGCTGCTTCTTCACTATACAGCACTGAGAAAAACAACGTCATCTTCAGACCTAACTCATACTGGTACCAGCAGTGAAGTTTCTACACCCTCAATGGCATCTGTTTCAACATTGTCTGATGACTATGGATCAGGAGACATAACTCCTGATATGTTAACCTCAAGCTCCACCATTTTAGCTGGAACTCTTTCTTCCACCTCACCGCAGTCAGTGTACACGACAACAAAAGAGACATCAGAGTCTGCGATGACAAAAGAATCTGAATCGACAAGTCAAACTGTGTTGTTGAAATCTACATCTAAAGGTACACAATGGTCTTCATTACAAACAGAATCACCAACTAAAGACACCATTTTACAGCCAACAGGAACTCCTGCTTCTTCACTATTTAGCACTGAGAAACCAACATCATCTTCAGACTTAACTCATACTGGTACCAGCAGTGAAGTATCAACACCTTCCATGGCATCTTTTGCAACGTCAACTGAAGAAGTTGGATCAGGAGACTCTCCTCCTGATATGTTTTCCTCAAGTTCTCCCATTTTAGCAGAGGCCTTTTCATCAGAATCTCCTAAATCAATTCACACCACGCCAAAAGAAACATCAGAGTCAGTGATGACACAACATTCAGAATCAACAGAGACATTTGGAACAGCTACCAAAGGAAGTACAAAACAGCCAACTGTCACAGCTGCTTCTTCACTATACAGCACTGAGAAACCAACATCATCTTCAGACCTAACTCATACCGGTACCAGCAGTGAAATGTCTACACCCTCAATGGCATCTGTTTCAACATCGTCTGATGACTATGGATCAGGCGACAGAACTCCTGATATGTTTACATCAAGCTCCACCATTTTAGCTGGAACTCTTTCTTCCACCTCACCGCAGTCAGTGTACACGACAACAAAAGAGACATCAGAGTCTGCAAAGACCAAAGAATCTGAATCGACAAGTCAAACTGTTGTTGAATCTACATCTACAGGTACACAATGGTCTTCATTACAAACAGAATCACCAACTAAAGACACCACTTTACAGCCAACAAGAACTCCTGCTTCTTCACTATTTAGCACTGAAAAACCAACATCATCTTCAGACTTAACTCATACTGGTACCAGCAGTGAAGTATCAACTCCTTCCGTGGCATCTGTTGCAACGTCAACTGAAGAAGTTGGATCAGGAGACTCTACTCCTGATATGTTTTCCTTCTAGTTCTCACATTTTAGCAGAGGCCATTTCATCAGATCTCCTAAATCAATTCACACCACGCCAAAAGAAACATCAG